GAGTGAATAAATCGTGTTGAAATTTTTTGTGAGTTATCTGAAAGTGGTCATTTTACCTATGTTGAAAACTATGTCATCTTAAACAGTATGTAGCTGCTTCTTGGTGTATCTGACCTAAAACTGCTAGGTGAGGTTATGAAGGACATTTGTTCAAGTATATGTCAGAAGAAACAAACTGACCGTCACTAAACCCACTACTGTGCTACAATATTCTGATAATGTGTACAAATCAGTATTTTCCATGCGATTTTTATGTTAATGATGACCGACGACTATCTTCAAGAGTTCATATGACCATCGATTATCAACAATGTGTTATTTTTGTTAAAAACCATAAACTTATTGTGACAAAATTGGACGTTCACATTCATCTTAGGGAAGGGGCGTAACTGGTGTATTTCTTTTTTTTTTTTGAAGCAAACAACATTTTATTGTCAATTGTATTCTGTAGTTAGTCGCAGGGAAGTGTATAAATGTATTGGCTGGCATGGCACAATCTAACCAAAACAGCCACTATTCACCAATGACCAACGATTATTTTCAAATGACCACGTTCAAGTAACCAACCATCGTGGAAGAAAAGATGTTAATCAGTGGTCATTTAAAGATAGTTGACAGTGAAGAGACGCATCCGTCGAACAATGCCATACTAAACATCTATATATGTGTACATATGCAATTCTGAAATTCCGTCCATTGTTAATTTAAAAGATATAATGGTAATCAATTTTAGCACGTGTAGTCATGCTGATCATGTGTTTATGGCTCAGTGCCACTTGATCTGTAAAACCTGTACACGCGCAAACATGTACATCCGTCAGGAACACTTCAATTTCTTTAAGCCACAAACGACGAAACAGTTTGTGATCGGTTGTCTGATTTTCCAGCGAACATTTCCAGCCGCGAGGTAGAGGCAATTGTTCATTTGTTGATTTCTCGAAGGCGTACGGCAATGTTCGACCAGATATTGTTTGAAATTTGTTTTGCTAAAGAATAATGTAATTAAGTACAATGAAATTAATTCCATGTATTCTCAGCTAAAGTCATCTAGCAGAACAATAGGACGTTAAACCCCATTTCATTTCATTTTATTTTCTGTGTCCAGTCAGATCAACTGACTTTGTCAGAGTACTTTGGGTTGTAGTACCAGAACACGACAAGGGTGTATGATTAGCCCATTACTTTTTACATTATTCTTGAATGAATTACTGGAAATGGGGAAAAACGATGATTGTTCAGGAATTTGTTAATAATGATGTCCTAAATATTTCATATTTTAGCCTTACTGAACGCTCATAACAGAGTATCAGTCGGAGACAAAGTCGGAAAGTTACAAAAGAAGATTAATTGTATTTTACGGTATGAAAGTTAACTTAAGTAAAACAAAAGTCCTCGTATTTAGAATATGAGATATGTTAAAAGGATATGAAAAATGGTATTATGAAGGGGAGACAATCGAGGCTGTCTCGGCATATAAATATTTAGGTGTTCTTTTTACGCTTAAATTAGCTTGGTATACCACCTACTCTCATCTAGCCCAACAATGAGCAAAGGTATGACTATGCTTTACAAATTTAGCTGTTGATTCAATTATACAATAGAGTAACCCTATAAAATATCACTCTGATAATCATGAAGTTTTGTCAAATTTTGATATATGCTGGTAAATTCGTTTTTTCTACATTAAGGTATTTATCACACGATGCATAAAGTTGTTTTTTTATATTAATTATGAATTTCTTTCAATATTTGTCCAGGAGAAGAAATTATTTGGTCACCTTGAATCATTTTAATATGGTTAACAATTGTTTTATTTTTTTTCTGACTCTATTTTTCTAATTTTAGGGAAAAAAAATTTTTTTTCTCCTTCCCCACTTTATTTTCGATCTCAGAATGGCTCCACGGGTTTCGTCCTCAAATATTATGTTTAGTTTGTTGAGTAACGTTTGATACCCTGAGTTACTAATGTTATCTAACAGTTGTTTTTCATCTGTCCTAGAATTTTTTCCTTTTAGCTTCCGGTTACAATAAATGATAGTATTAGATTTCATTTTAAACTTTATATAATCCCGAAGTCCGCACCTATCGTTTCCCCATCCCCTGATCGAAAGTTTAATATATTCATAATAATTCTTTTCGGAAGTTAGGCTATTGACAGTTTGATATATTCATAATAATTCTTGTCGGAAGGTCGGCTATTGACAGTTTAATATATACTATTCAAAAAAAGTAGGGGATATTTGATTTTTAAGTGTTATTAAAGTCACCTAATGAAACTGACGAAGAAACAAATAATGAAATGAAGTTCACATTCATCGATTTATTCCAAATGATCGTTAGACTAAGTAAGGCACAGACTGACCATTATAAGGGTAAAATGATACCCGGGGTCAAACAGCAAAGTTACCACAGCATCACAACCAAGTCAGTAACGGGTAAATCCTCCTCTGTTTGCCAAACAAGCATTGATCCGACGTGGCATACTCCTTATGAGACGTCTAAGGTCATTTTGGTCCAGATTGTCCCATTCCTGTTGCAACGCAGCAGCAAGTTCTTGGACATTGGCAGGACGTTGTTGACGTTGACGTAACCTCTGTCCAAGCATGTCCCAGACATGCTCGATGGGGGAGAGGTCGGGACTCAGTGCTGGCCAAGGTAATGTGGTGATGTTCTGTTGTTGGAGGTAACCTGTAACGATCCTGGCCCTGTGACATCTTGCGTTGCCATCCTGGAAGATGAAACGGCGGCCATGACGTCGTGCAACATGGACTGCCAAGATGTTGTCCCGGTAGTACTGGCCTGTAACACGCCCTGCAACAACATGTAAAGCCGTTCTTCCAGCAACAGTGATGCCTCCCCACACCATAACAGAACCACCCCCAAATCGATCATGTCTGATGACGTTAACGTCTTGGAAGCACTCGTTTCGACGACGCCACACCCTCCTACGTCTGTCCAAAAAATCAACAGTGAACCTTGACTCATCTGAAAACATCACATTGCTCCAGCGTCGATTATCCCAGTGTTGACGATCCCTACACCAACGACGTCTTGCCTGAATGTGATGATCTCTCAAACAAGGGATCACGCGAGGACGTCGGGCGCGAAGGTGACCCCTATGCAGTCGATTCCGAATCGTCTGGCCACTCACTCTCACACCAGTGTCTGTTTGAAGACGAGCGCTGATCTGATTTGCTGTGATGACACGATTTCTCAAGGCCAAGGTGCGGATAAATCGATCCTGGGCTTGAGTTGTCGCCCTTGGTCGACCTGAGCGTGGTCTGTCCTGTACAGATTGTGTATCACGGTATCTGGACCATAGCCTGCTTATGACAGACTGAGAAACATTCATCGTCCGCGCCACAACCGCCTGTGTTGTGCCGATCTGTAGCATGCCAAGGGCACGTAACCTTTCATTTTGGGTAAGCCGACGCATATCAAAATTTGTTTTCTGGTCACTAAAACAATTAAACTGATGTTTCCACCCTGGAATTCAATGCCACAATGACTGTAACATTCAAAGTCAGAGTCGTGCAAATCTTGGGTTGGACCCCCATGATGATCCCAAGCATCACCTGCATTCCATGCGGTAGCTATTGGTGCGTTTGGGTGTCACATGTAACTGGAAATGTTTCTTCTGTTAGGTTCTATAGTGACTTTTTTCGTAGTCATTTGCATATTTTAGTATTATGCCCCCAAAATCAAATATCCCCTACTTTGTTTTAATAGTATAATAATATTGACAATAATTCTTGTCTTGCCTTTCCCTCGTACATTTGCGAAAATGTTTAATATTAGTATCATTGCTGAGTAGGTAGTTACTGATTGTGTTAGCTTTTATTGAACAATCTTCAACATAGTTTTGAATATTATCTGTGAATAGCCAATAGTCAATCCTACTTTGAATAAGGGATTTAGGCTGCCTCCAGGTGAATTTTTTTAAACAAGGTTTTTTTTTATTCTAAATATACCTATCAGTCCAAAACTGTGTATGATTTTGTTAATATTGTCCTTAAAGTTGTTCTTGATTTTTATAATTGCCTCCTGTCCGATCAACATCGACGGCCGTTAAAATCGCCTCATAAGATAAAAGCATCAAATTTTAAATCATTTTCTAGTGTTAACATTAATGCATATAAACGATTCAAATATTGATATTGTTCAGCATTAATATTCGGGCTGTAGGTATTTTAAATCATTTTCTAGTTTTAACATTAATTCATATAAACAGGACAAATATTTATATTGTCCAGAAAGGGTATTCGGGTTATACGTATTTATAAGAATCTAAATGGCATTATTTATATTATTGTATAATAAACTTTTTCGTCCATTATCTAACTAACAATATTTACATCACATGTATCTTCGAAATATGATTTCTGAGCCCGCCGAGTTGCTTTTACCGTGTGAGAAGACTATGTGGCCTCCCCAGAGATTTTATTCAGGTTTAGTAATGTGTGTTTCTTGTAAGAAAACGATATCATTATTCTGCTCTTTTAGCCAGATAAATAGTTTGACGCGCTTAAATTTTTGCCGCATACCTCTAACATTTAGCGATAATAATTTTAAATTAACCACATTGAGCTTTAGTTGTTAATGCTGTTACAGATGTATCTTTACATGTATCCTCTGCAAACAAATTATGATATACTTATTCAAGTTTAACCTGTCTAACATAATTATATAATAACATATAACAGTCTCATGTGTGTAGTTTATCTTTGTAACATATTTACTGGGGGATTGGGTGGTTAGCACGTGCGCGCTGGATCATAAGGTCTGCCATTGCGTCAATTGGCGTGGTTTCGAATCCCTGGTTGTACGTGACCGGGTCCTCCGGTTTCCTCAGACTGCTCAAGAACCCTACGCGCAAGCGAATTATTGAAATAAAATTGAACCATTTGTTAGCGAAAAGACCTAGTTTGTGTCGAGTGGACTTTAAACCCAATCTCTATTATATTTACTACATAAACTAACACCAATAGCAATTTTTACATAATATATTATAACATATACAATAACCCAAAAAGTTAATTGAAAATTTGGAAACATCCTTACAATATATATAGGTTTTTTTCATTTTTTCACCGGGGTTTATATTTCTACTTTGAATATAATTAATACTGTGACGTATGTAGGTTCGATTAAGCGCAAGGCATTCATCTATAGATGAGGGGGGGGGGGGGGGCGAATGGTTAGCACGCGTGCGCAGTATCATACGATCTGTCATTGAGTCAACTGGCGGGGTTTCGATTCCACGGTTGTACGTGACAAGGAGTAGGGTCACCTGTCCAACGTCGTGGGTTTTCTCCGGGTCCCCCGGTTTCCTCCCACTGCCTAAGACCCCTACGCGCAAGTGAATTATTGAAATCAAAATTAAACCATATGTTAGTCCCGAAATGACCTAGTTTGTGTTGAGTGGTCGTTATACTCCATTTCTCTCTCTATAGACGAGTCGTGACGTTATACCAGTGCTCGTGCTCGTGCTCCGGCTAGCTATGATGATTACAATAACATTACTAAAGCTAGCTTGTAAGTCTTATGAAACTATTTATAATTTGTCTACATTCTAAAGTGACCCCCATATAAATATCGGTAGTAGCTACTTACATAAAAAATTATTAAAATCAAAAACAAAAACAACAGAAATGCACTTTGTCGCTATTCGCCGTTCAGTGTTTCAGATAATTCCTGGCCGTCGTAAATATCTTCTGAAGTGGCCGAGGACACTGCTTTTATGCCCATAATTCCAAGACGGAGAAGTACCTTACCCGTAAGCCCATTGTTTGGTGGGCCTGACGAAGTAGGGTTATTGAAGCGGTTTTGTGGACGCGACGCATCGTTTGGTTGTGAGTTATTCGGGTATACTGATCCAGGAATTTGGGGCATGTAAGGTAGTGGTGTTTCTGCGAATGTGGGGTTCGTCGTCTGTAACGGTGGTGGATAATAAGTTGGTGTTGGATAAGCTGGATTGAAGGTTGCTGGTTGTGGCGGGCTTGAGTAGGTATAGGGCTGTGGTGGTTGGCCTACCCCCACCGGGTTATTATTATAGGAAATTGTAGAGGGCTGGCCTGAAACATAAATACATATTTTCATAGACGCTTTGTTACCTTATTCATAAACTAAAATATTTTAGTAATGCTGACTTTTCATTGGTTGAAATTGTACTAAAATTGTAAATCACAGCCAATAAAAATGTTGAATTCTTAATATATTTTAATTTAAAGATGAATTATACAAGAGCTAAATCTGTCTATCGCACGTCTTTCTTTAGGCCTGAAATGTTATCTAAATTATTAATTAACCATTAATCAACTTATGTTGACCATGATCAATCAACTCTCGATGTCATCGCTAGCCTGTGATATTTACTAGATTAGAACCCGGTCTGCTGTTTCTGATTAAATAAAAAAAATGGATAATCGAGACTGTTTTTTATCGTACCGACTTTAGTAATGATGATCGAGGCTAGGCCAAAATTCTATCGCTAATTACTCGGTTCAGGGTGGATCAATTTGACTGAAATTTTCATCAAATTCCCTTTACACTATCCAGTTTTTAACTATTATCTAATCTCCCATAATGTATCTTTAATACTTTGTTCTGTAAATGTCATTCACCATAGAGGGGAGAGGTTGCCGTATGGTTAAACATGTGCGCTTGATCATCAGTTCTGTCCCCGAGTCAACTGGAGGCGTGGTTTCGATTCGCCGCTTATGCGCGACATTTTTGTTGTTTTCTTTATATTCAAAACGGCTTACACTGTGCACAATTTTTATACTCGTTCGATTTGTTTGGGATTATTGGATTATGACCCCTGCTTTATCTTTATCTGTTGCCGTAGTGTTGCGATTGAATGAATGCATAGTCAAGTATAGATCGTATGGTGTTGTACTGTGTTCTGGAGAGGTAGCTATTTGGGAGCGTCAGTTGTTTCCATTCTATAGTTTCCTAATTATATTTTATATCCGAACTATAGATATGTTTATTAGCATATTTTATATATTTAGAGTAAATATTAAACACGTATATATTTATTCAGTTAATCAATATTATGATTAGAAGTATTTAGATCGAATTTGTGTGTGTACTTAATTAGTTACTCCTGTAAATTGTGGTCTTTCGCCTGGGATCAAGCATGGCACCCACATTTGTGCGTTGCGGAAAAGGGTGAAGTCAAAAAGGTTTCATGTGTGTATATTTGGGTATTCAACGTGATATTCATCATACATGTAATACTCAACTTACATTAAAATTGTCTGTCAATTACTGAAATGAGGATATAAAGATAATTCATTGAACCCTAAGACTTGTATGTTGAATTTGTTGGTTATTCCGGTATACATGTAGTAACGAACTTGCGACTCAATCCTAGAATATTGCACAGAGCATCACACCTCGGTTCATTAGTGTTTGGATGTCTGCGTATAGTAACGAGGTGTACTGTTACACCCGTACCGTTAATAAATGAAGCCAGGTTTGTTCTTACAGTTTATAAATGCGTATATATACTTTGGGTTGTCGTAAGCGAAAAACTGAACAGCCTTCGTCAACGTCCGATAGAAGAATGTCAGATTATTTTAGTATATCACCACCAAAATGTTCCATGTCTACAGATGATACTGACATGATCAGCTCTCGTCCATCTAATATTACATCCTTGAATGTTAAAGCGATATCAACTTCTACAATAGGTGGACGGAGGGCCTGACAAGGACAGCTGTCTAGTCCTTCGGATGAGACGAAAAACTGGAATGCACGTAAAAGATCCCCTGGCAGTTGGAATTCGATATAAGAGTAGGCGATAGTGCCGCTGCCCGGGCAAAATTTCCCTCATAGCACACTGTATGGCGTATGCCCGTCTTCATTAGCCCAGTATAGGAGATGAACAGTAGGACGTTAAACCCCATTTCATTTCATTTCATTTCTACAATAGGTCTGCATGTAGGCTACCTCAAAAGTTTTCGACCGAGAACAGTTTCGAAAAAACATAGAATCTTTAAGGGGCATTATATGATAAGGTAAGTAAAATTTCTCTATTCGCTTTTGAATTTTAGGCCTAGCCTCGACCATCGTTACTAAAGTCGTACAAACCCAGATGTTGAAAACGCTTTCAAAACATGGGCGTCTGCAAAGCAGATAAGAATTTGGTAATATCATATGTATAGTGTATGTGCTTATGCATATAAAAATTGCTGAAAAATTGTAATAGATTTTTTTTTTTTTTTTTTCGCGGAAACAAAATATGGCTAATAAATTAAAATGAAAAATTGGCTGAAAATATGAAACCTGGAGTGAGCACTTCGTGACAAGGAATAGGGTAACCTGTCCAACCTCGTGGGTTTTTTTTCCGGGTTTTCCGGTTTCCACCCATTGCTAAAGATCCCTACGCGCATGCGAATTATTGAAATAAAAATAAACCATATGTAAGTCCCGAAATGACCTAGTTTGTGTCTAGCGGACGTTAAACCCCATTTATCTGCCGCCCCACTCCCTCACTCACCATAGGAAATAGTAGCTACATTTGACGATGGATTCGTTGCTAAAACTCTACCAATAGACCGTTTTTTAAAACTGACACAACAAACACATATTATTAAGCTTAAAATCAGCACCCCTGCTATAGTACCAAACAAAGCACCATATATAGTCACGTCAGAGCTGTAATCAAAACCAATGAAACAAATGAATACCTCATTTAGCAGACTGTCAGTGTTCGTGTTCGGATTCGGGGGGGGGGGGGGGGGGGTAACGATAACCAAATAACATGGACGACTAAAAACTTTCAAAAAAAAAAAAAAAAAATTGTAAATGATTTCGCCCATTATTTTTTGTCTTTAGTTGTTTGTACTCCTCCGGTTTTCAAGTCATGCCCAATAGATAATGTGACAATATCCTTAGCCAGGCAAAACAGGGTCCTATTTGTGACAAGGTGATCTTTATACTTTTCATCAAATTGAACGATCATTTAGGTGCATAGAACTTCATGAACTTTATGAACTTTGCTAGATTTGACGTTTCACCTCTGTATAAACTTGGTTAAGGCACGGACTCCCTACGAACTTATTAAACATCTAATTAATTCAATATGTCCTTTACAAGCTACACATGATATGTGTATAACACTAGGCAGAACTTCAAAGAGAATGTTGTAGTGGTCAATGTATCGTAATATGACCTGACAATGACATCCAAGGAAATATGCAGTGTAATTACAGACATCATAATTTGATAAATAAACAATACCATATATGGTGATGACTCTTGTCCATCTTCCCTAATTGTTGAACGCTATATAAGCAGGCGTTTACTGACAGTAAGTCCGACTTGGAATAGAGCTCCTACCGAATTATGTCTATTTCATGTTCTTAATAAAGGTTTTATCAATTATGCTGATCTTCTGTTATCTGTAGTGTAACATATTTCCAATAACTTAAGCTAAAAAAAATATGCGTTTCAAGAAAATCGATTGTAACTTAAAATGTAATTCTAATAGATTTTAGTTAAAATTGCTTTCTTCCGCACAGAGCACATTCCCAGTGTGGGCACTTAGGGTGTAAGCAAATACGCTTCGGAACTGAAAACTGTTTTCAGGTTGAACTAACGGTTACAATATCAATGGGGAGAGTTTCAGACGTTGTCGCAATGTTTATACATGGTCAGACAGTCGTAGAGAGATGAAATAAATGAATTTATTGCCTATTATTCGTTTCGAAATGTACCGGAGGGTTGGCCTTGAACTTGCATACTGCTTTCGTGATCTTGACATTTCATTTACTCGCAGGCTTCAATGGAAATAATGCGTATCGATAAACTAAATCGCTTGAATTTAGTAGTTTTATGGTATTTTGGATAACAGAAACTATTGTCACAAACATATGATATTTGTAACTCAAACGACTGTCGAATTTTAAAAGCATCTAAGTTTAAAATGATTTTATTTAAGACATTTGTTAGTGGGTTTTATCTAACACTGCTTAAAATCGTTTTGTTAAACTCATCTATCTTACGTTAGGGAGAAATTTTAGTTTAAATCGATTTTAAGGCGATTCAAGTTTTTGTGAAACAAGGGCCCTGAAATGTTCTCTTGTTTTGGGTTGTTGTTTTTTTTTGTTCTGGGAAAACGCCTCATGGTTGATCTGAACCATCTCTACCCCAATACCTATACTTATAGAGTGGGTATATATATGTAATGCTCTTTTATCAAGTAATGGGGGGGGGGTCGACTGGTTAGCACGTGCGCGCTGTATCATAAGGCCTGTCATTGAGTCAACTGGCGTTGTTTTGAATCCCCGGTTGTACGTGACAAGGAGTAGGGTCGAAAATTATTGAAATAAAATTAAACCATGTTATAGTCCCGAAATGACCCTGTTGGTGTCGAGTGGACGTTAAACCCAGGTACACAGGCCAATTGTTGACTGACCGTAAGATTGACGGCATCATACACTGAACCGTGGATGTATACTTACACTGCTTTATTGCTGTAATAAGTGTAGCTGGAACTGCAACAATACTTATAATACGTTGTACCACAACAATCATCAGAGCAGTACATGCACGAAGAACGTCCAGAAGTCGATCGTTCCTCGCACACTTCAACTTGACATTCTGTAAAGAAACCATATAAAGTATAATTTCAAATTGTCTTATATTATGGAAAGAAAAGCAAAGTTCCATACATTACGCGTGTCCCAGGAAACCTTACATACACGAATTGACCGCTAAAATTAGGTTGCGCAAGTGGACCGTCCGTCCGTATTTATACAACATATCTACGTGGAGAGAGGTGTCAACCACTCAATCTTTTGAGTAGGTGATACATGACTTCTCTACAATGTTAGAATTTAATAATTAATTAAAGATAGAATATGGTTGCAAAGACCATAGTACTACATCAGTTTTAGCAATGACTTTAACCTTGTTGTTAGACAATTATTTCTGTTTTAACAACACAAAAGAAACCTTACTAACCTGTGATGCACCCAAGTAGAATTAAAACAATAACAGAATTCATGGTTTTTAACTATATAGACACTTCCACGACCAGTTGACTAGATCGATTCCTTTACTTAACTATATAGACACTTCCACGGCCAGTTGACTAGATCGATTCCTTTACTAAACTATATAGACACTTCCACGGCCAGTTAGCTAGATCGATTCCTTTACTAAACTATGTAGACACTTCCACGAACAGTTATCTAGATCGATTCCTTTACTAAACTAGACACTTCCACGACCAGTTGGCTTGATTGATTCCTTTACTTAACTGCATAGACACTTCATCGACAAGTTGATTTGATTTTTTCCCACCTTTATTGACGACCTTGAAAAATCAAACCATTGACTTGACTATACAATACGATATAAATATAACATTTACTCGTGAATGACAGGTAACTGAATAGGGTCCTAAAATAACCAGTAGATACATACTGAATAGGGTCCTAAAATAACCAGTATATTATTATACCAACGTAACCTGAAAAACACCAGTCTATTGCAGGTCATTTTAGTCAAATTAAATGAAATAAAATGGGGATTAACGTCCCACTGTTCTGCTCTGACTGGGCTAATGAAGACGGTTATACGCCATGCAGTGTATGGGAGATCAAACAGCTCTTTATCCGGTCGCCAAACCCAATATTGCGAGTGAACCTGGTAATTGTAGCCCAGGGTGTCCTCTTTCAGAATATGCCGGGTGAACCTCGGTCACCATTGAGCGTTTTGTATGCATAATTGTATCCAAACAAGATCAAACTTAAGAGCTTCATATAAAGACTGATAATGCGGCAGAACTGTGACTGAACCTGGTAATTGTATACAAAGGTTTTTTTAGGATCGATTTTCATAGCCTAGGGTGTCCTCTTTCAGAATCTGCCGAGTGAACCCCGGTCACTCGTGATCGTTTTGAGAAATTCAAGATGGCGCCCAAGACGGCAGCCGTTTCAAATAATCCCCTATTACTTCCATAATATTTAGTCTTAAGAATGTTAATTTTGGTGTCCAACCGTATGTTTCTGGGGTTAAGGAATACACTGAAATCGTTCATTATTTTGTCGGGTGATTAGATGATTTGTAAAATCCAAAATGTCTGACAATATGGCCCTTTAACTCGTTAGCGACCGTTGAGGGCCATTGTGTCACGAAAACAAACTATATCTAGAGACAAACTATATATTCTGGATATACATACACGCCTATCAGGGGTTCTAGGGCATCTTGGGCCGGCCCTGAAAGTGGGGACAGAAGCTGTGTTTTTTTTTGAATATTTAAAAAACCAAATTCCCGGGAGACTCGGTAATAATACTTTAGTCGTGTTTCCGACTGCGACAGCACAAGCACGAAATACTGTACATTCTAAGCCACCCCTAATACAGCCACAAGCAAGCGTACTACATGGGATGTCACTCTTGTATCCACATCTGATGAGCTACATGATAGACTCCGGAGCAAGTTGGGCAGATGTAATGTTCTTAATTTCGTATCCTTCACTCAGCAATACAGTTCCGGATCAAGTTCCGGTGGATTATCATCTTCCAGTGAACGCCACACAATAGCTTGGTGATGAGCTCTTTTTGCGTTCTCTGCAAATGTATCATTCGTTGAGTAAGACTACATGGTTTGGGTGGGAATGATGACAGCTCATGCAGTACGCGTGCTTGTAGGTGCACTAGGGATGACTTATACAGTATTTTGGGCTTGTATGCTGTCAGAGGTTGCAGCCAGTAACACAACTAAAGGATTAAACTGAATATTGCCTAGTTTTGTGGCAGTTATGTTCGTGTTTTGAGGGTATAATTTTTTTTTTTTTAATGTTCAACAAACAGACTGTGGTTCCTTTTTCAGGACCTGCCCATATGGCCCTGGAGCAATTGATAGGCATGTATGTGGTGTTACCGTGTCGGTCATATACTCGTATGTCCAGAAATATATAGTTTGTCACTAGATATAGTTTGGTTTGGTGAAATAATCGCGCCCACCCCGCTAACGAGTTAAACGACCTTATGGTCTGGCATGTTTGATTTTACTATCATCTAATCACCCCAAAACGATTTCAGCGTATTGGTTGACCGCCAAAACATACGGTTAGACACCACATTTATCATTCTAGACTAAATACTATGGAAGTTATAGGGGATTATTTGAAATGGCGGGTGTCTTGGACGCCATCTTGAATTTCTCAAAACGCTCAAGGGTGACCGAGGTTCACACGGCAGATTCTGAAAGAGTCCACCCTAGGCTACTAAAATCAATCATAAAAAAACCTTTGTATACAATTTCCAGGTTCAGCCATAATTCTGCGGACTATTAGCTCTTACTTCTTAATTCATAATCTTAAATTCTTATTTCTTCATTTGTTGTCGTATTCCGACATTTATACTCTAAATAAATTAACATTTGTATCTTAAAATCAAAATTTGCTTTACAAATCAGACATTTGTCATATTAGATTTGTAAATTCTATTTTTGTTTAATTGAATTGTAATATAAAGATAAATTTATTTTAGAAAATAAAAAAAATAGCCAATAATTTACATTTCACCAGAGACATACAACGAAAAACAAATGTCGAACAACAAATTTCCAAATACAAATCTTGCAAAACATTTCTCAAAAAACATTTCTCGAAATCCATCGAACCCGAAACATGATCGGAAATCAACGTTGCATACAATAAGTGACTATAAAATAATGGGGAATCAAGCAAGCATATATACAATAACAAAAATCGCTCGATGACCGTGACTTTAATGAAATCACGTGCTTGTTATGGCTACACCATAGAGTTATGTTGTAATACTATAGGGTTATTTTAGTTGTATGAAAGGTGTTCTGTTTAATATAGAAATTCGTTATACCTACATGATGTGTATCGAAAACTAGGCTAATGAAGTATCTTCCATTATTTTACTACTTTCTTAGACTAACTCACCGACAGTTATGTCTTTATCCATTGCTGAAAGTAGGGTACTATCTTCCAGTCATCTCGTGCACAGATTAGTCCAATTAAATAGAATAATGTTGACGTAAAACGGTGCCCATAGAAAACACTTACCCAAAATTGGTAACGCATCTATACCTTCTATGCAAGAATAGCGGGGTTAAATTTCCATTCAGACGTCATCTAGAGATCCTAGGAAAGACATCATCCCGCATTCCAAAGTTACCAACCATACGAGGCCGGGGTACGGACATTATTCGGAGTTCCTTGGGAACTACGACCTACTCTTATATCGAATTCCAACTGTCAAGGGATCTTTTTCGGCCAGCGATATCCACTAAGCGACAGTGACTCTCTAAAAATGCCAAAGGGGGGGGGGGGGTACCGGTGGAGATGTTCGTGGTTAGGTAAGTACTTATTAAACTGACAATGGAAAGCCAAAAAGACCAATGGGTGCATTTAACAAATTTTCGAAAAATGGCATTTGTAGCTTGTGGACCCACTAGAAGTCACAATTTGTATTGGATTTTAAAACAACGTTTTAATATCACCGTTACACATCAATGAAGGTTTAGTTCAAATTTTGTAAAAATCTGACACAACGTGCGCGACAAAATGGTTGTGCAAACTCTAAAAATCAGAATTTTAACCGACTTGGATGAAACTTGAAATGTATGATTATAATCCAAAGATCTTGGTTCCTGTCAATATTTGCGCATATGAGACCGTAAATTCCTGCATTATGGCCCCTGATTAACCCTCTGGAGGTCACAATTTTTATTCGATTTAAACAAAAACCGTTTAAATGTATCACTGTTACACCCTGATGACGGTTGAGTTCGAATTTCGTGAAAATTGGACCATAACTGCCTGACAAAATGGCCGCTCCTTGCACGCAAATAGTGTAAAAGTATGAAATACCAAGGTTGTGAACCCTCGAGAAGTCACGATGTAGATGAAATTTAAACTATATCTTTATATTCGCGCATTTCAGACTATAACTTCATGGATTATGGCCCCTGTTTGTACGAAAAATCGCTTTTTTCTTTTAGCTTGTTCTCTATCCATCTCTTGCAAAATGTGGGCGTATCGCGAGGTTGGACAGGCGACCCTACGCCTTGTCCTGTACAACCGGGAAATAGAAACCACGCCAGTTGACGCAATGACAGACCGTATGATACAGCGCGCGTGTGCTCGCCATTCTCCCACACCCCACCCCACCTTCAATCCTACTGAATTTATGATAAACAGATTCTTTAAAACATCAGTTTGTCTAAGGTATCGATCAGATGGAGCCAACGTGCATCGCTGATTTATATTTAAAAGAAGATTTTTGCGATACCAACGTCTTATAATCCAACTAAAAGGTTGATATACAGCAAAAAAAAGAAATTAAATTAAGAAAAACGCTATCAAATCGAAAGCTCCACTCTTAATAAAAGAATAAATTAACCTCGGTGGACAGTGTCAATTCTTTAATCAATTCTTTAGTAGGAATTTTGATCCAATTTCCCAATTTGAATTGACTGAAAGTTTGACCAAGTATATATTTCGTCATAAATCATCCTTTAATCATACCAGTTATTGAATATGTATATTAATTTAAAAATTCTAACAGTTTTGGCTCTGGTACTTGCATTCGGAGACCATTGACATTTTTTATAAGTGCACTGAATAAGCTGATCCCTCGACAAGCCACTTTGTCATAACCGAACCTTCCCTCTGCGCCTCCAAAATTGTTAAGAAATGGTGAAAGCTGATCCCTCGGCAAGCCACTTTGTCATAACCGAACCTTCCCTCTTCGCCTCCAAAATTGTTAAGAAATGGTGAAAAACGTGTATGACTAACATCTCAATGAAATGAGTATTTAATTACGGGGTAATACATGTGTAATAATAAAACCTTCCTTGTTTGATATCGGGTTGTATAAGTTTTGAATAATTTATAATATTTAACTCTAGATGAGGAGAATGTACAATTTCTAAATGTTACATTACTTTTAACAGTAAAATTATTTATACATTGACGTAAATGTTCATGTTTTGACGAACTATGAAGCAGATTTCCTAAATGGGATTCAGATTCGACAAGTTTGATGGGGAGGCCGTTTATAAGAATGGGTTTAAGATCCTGATTTCCAGTTTCAGAGGGTTTGCATGGAAAATATATAACTCTGCTCATGTCGGGATTAAAAGTGAGGTTATATTCTTCAGAATATTTACTTGCTATGCGCAATAAACCATTAAGAGAGTTTCTACTTGAGGAGATTAGCGTGAGGTCATCATACAGTGTTCTATGAAGACATTTTGCCCGGACAGCGGCATATTTGTATATCGAATTATAACTGCAAAAGGATCTTTAACATGCACACAAATGTGTACGCGGTATCTCGGTCAACGCAGGCACCGAACAAATGTGTACACGGGAGCGTGGTTTTTCGTCCAACCCTAACGACTATTATTTCATATGAACTTTAACCTTAGATTTAACTTGAACAAGGATGTGTATTGTTGATACCGAGTATTATAAATTTATTTAGTAGTTCATACATCATGGCCAGTCTTGTATATGTTCTAATATTTGTGATAATTTGTAAGTTTTGTCTTTGTAAAGTAGGTAAGTAATATTTATTCTATCTTTGTGCTCAATGAAATTGGAAATAAATTCATTATATTTAAATGATGCGTTTCGGTATTAGTTGGCTCGAGGCAGGTCAGTTAATTTTATTCAGTTGTTCCAAACCGTTGCTATATTAAAATGTTTAGTAATAAAGGGTATCATGTACGAGACAGTGTATACCTACTGATTCAAGAACAATTGATCCCACATTTGAGGAATTCACGTTTATAAGAATGGAGAATGCTAGATCGGAGACGATCCTGCACATATGACGTCATATGTGGATTGTGCGTTAGGTTTAGGTTAACGGTTAGGCTTGGTCCAGGGTTAGGGTTAGTGCTAGCCCCGTTTACATCTCGAGACTTTGACGAAATCTGTAGGTTGTAACCCTAACCCAACCCCGCAATGTGCTATTTAACTTGCAGGACCGTCTCCAATCTAGCGTTCTCCTATAAGAAACTAGCGGATGAGCTGGCGCTGCACGGGTTGAAGACAGAAGCTAGCATAACCTGGTCCATGTTACTCCCCGGTCCGAGTTACTTTCTACCACACACGGGACAGTCCTAGTGTAACCACCAATCTTGAACAGACAGACGGACAAACGGCAGTCACAAATAGCAGTATATATTTGTATTGCAGCGCTTTAATATAGGTTGAATGTATACGGGCCCGTAGCCACGGGGTTGGGGAGGCTATGGGGGAGCTTTAGCCCCCCCCCCCCGCCCCCAAATATTTCGCCAACAATAATGATTTCTTAGGAGCGTTCTTAGCCGACCACATCCTCAGCCCCACAAAAAAATTCCGTAGCCCCACCACGTTTTAAGAGCTGGCTGCGGGCCCGAATGTTTATATGGTTAAATGTTAATTATTGATAGTGAAGACGCCTATAGAGGACAGACAGCTAGCTTATATGATTTAATGTATGTCAGAGTGCAATCTGATTAAATCACAGATCCTATTTCGTTTCAGTTTTTATAGTTCAAAATTTCGTTTTACTTGTCTTTACGTAGTGTAGGCCATCGAAAGTATAAAAAAACGAAACGAAATATAGATCTGTATTTTAATCGGATTGGTCAGAATGAAGTAAAGTGGTGAATTTTTTTACCTGGACGTATTTCTTTATATATATCTTACAGGATCTCTGTTCACTTGTTTATATAGGGGATCACGGTGGCGAAGTTCATCCAGATTTTCCGGCGAGGTAACCCCCTTGTCAGTAGCTGCGTTCACACTTCATGCGCATTGAATGCGAATTCCGGAGACCGGCCTCTGGAATTCGGATTGGTTTTTCCCAGTTTAAAAGCGATGCGTCACATTACATTTTATTCGGATTGAATTCAGAATAAAAAGCGCCACACTGAATGCGGAGGCAATCAAGGCTACATCAGCGGGTCTTACATCTTCGACACCTTGCCATGCAGCGCCGGGCACGATTTCGTTGGCACCAAAATCAAATGCGAATGAGGATGATTATTCTTTTGGTAGCGTTTGCTATACATTAACACGTATGCACTTCACTCTTGGCTCTGTACTAGCAAAGATACATTTCATAATTGAAATGTTATGAAATGGGGTTAAACTTCCTACTGTTCTGGTCCGACTGGGCTTATAAAGACGGGTATATACCATTTTCCCAGGACAGCGACGCTACGGCCTACGGCCTACGCTTTCATCGAATTCCAACTATCAAGGGATTTTTTACGTCCACGTCAATGTGTACACGGGAACTCTGTCTTTCGTCCCATCCGAGCGACTAGGCTTTAGTGTGTTGTAAATGTTTGCATTACTGACTAAAGGTTAAGTATGCCACAACCCCCGTTGACTGCTCGGAGGACTGCTGAGGACGTATGTTTCGTTGGCTGACAACCTATCGTTAGCTGGTTATGTTACCGTAGAATTTGTTTCAGTGACGAAGGGCTACAGCTATTTAGACTACACCCCAACATCCGCACAAAGTTATCGTTTCTGATAAAACTGTTGATCTGAATCAAGCGTTAAATCTTGACTGCGAATAATCCGATTCGGAATGATTGTTCCGGTTTGAATTCGGAAAAATATACGGATTCGTTAATTCAGATTCAGTTCGGTTTTTATCAAATTGAGTGTGACTCTAAAGTCCGGAATAAGACTTTATTCTAGATTCAATTCAGATTAAACCCCTAGTGTGAACGCAGCTAGTGATGCAGGAAGGAGGGCCTATGGAACCAACTGCCACACCACTTAACAGCAGCAGTCACCTTGACCCAATTCAAGCGCTAGCTGGGTGACTTCCAGTTTTAAACGACAGCCAGCTTTTATCCGCACCGACTACTTTTTATCGATCGTTCCTGCGCATCTCATCCAGATTCGATTACGTTCCAATTGGAACCCGAGTCTTTAAGGGAAGAAGAAGAAGAAGACGGATAGCTGTCTAGTCGTTGGGATGGGACGAAACACCGAGGTCCCGTGTACACATTGACGTACACGTAAAAGATCCCTTGACAGTTGAAATTCGATATAAGAGTAGGCCGTAGTGCCGCTGTCCGAGCAAATTTTTAACCTCAAGTATATCAAGACAATAAACGATTTTAACATAGGATTTCTACATATTTGCGGAGGAAGGGGACAAGTGGACTAGGGCGTGCACTTTAGATCGTAAGGTTTCGACCATAAGTAATAGAGTTTCCCACTACGAACGAATTAATGATATAAAATTGTGTGTTAGTCCCGAAATGATCTAGTTTGTGTCGAGTGGACGTTGAACCCTATCTCTGCACCAACCTCTTGGGTTTTCTCCCATTGCTAAAGACCCCGCGCAAGCGAATTATCGAAATAAAATTGAACCATATGTTAGTCCCGAAATCACCTAGTTTGTGTAGAATGGGTGTTAAACCTCACCTCTCTCTCTCTCTCTCTCTCTCTCTCTGCAATCCCATCTCTGCAATAAGCATATTATATGCTTAAACACTCATTGACCCGACACTCATTTTTCAGATAATTATTGTGTTAAAATTTTGACGTGTTTCCATGGCAACCAATATGTATGCCATCCGTCACCTGTTGAATTCACAAAGCTTGGTAACGTTTCCGACATATTCCCCGATAATTATCTATTCAGTAATAGACATGCTTTCTCTGGTAGGTTGTAAAACGTTTAGTAAAGATATCTTGAATATATTTCCTGATGTGTTTAAAATTAAAATTGCCGACCACAACCCAAGATAAATCGTGTTCCCATAGTAACCAACAATTACTAATTTTAAAATAACCACAAGTACTGTAATTAGTCGGTGGACGTTTCAAGAAATAATATCTCCCGAACTAAACAAAACGTCAAAAACTATGTATATTTTTATACGCCCACTTTTCATGTTTTCTCGTTTTCAGAAACAATGATTCCTCATATTCTCTCTACATAAACTGTGAATGTTTTCCTTTTTTTCTAATTTCAGAACTAACTGGGTTTGATTTTGCATATGAAGGCGAGAAATATGTTTTAACATGTCATATCGACACTACTGAGCGTAATTATGAAACAAAATATAACTGGTATAGAAATAATGAACTGGTAGCCCGAACTGATTCTTCCCCGGAAGAATTAAACTGTAAAATATTTAATATTAGTCAACGTTCAAGATATGAATTAAATTGTAAACAACATCAGCTGATCATTAAATCTGTTGACCAGACTAAAGATAATGGCGTTCAGTGGAGTTGTAGACACATTGGATATGATACAGACCGGTTTCCAGATTATACCAGTACGTTTGTGGTAAAAACAGGCAGTACGTAATTATTCATTATAAATACATTTGTGACTTAAACATTTGTAAGCAGTGCGAAATGGAATCAGGGGTTATCTTATGTGTGTGTGTGTGTGAGGGGGGGGGGGTAAAGCATGCGTCTTAGATCATAAGGTCTGCCATTGAGTCAAGAGGTATGGTTTCTATCCCACACTTGTATATATTAACACATGCTAAATTGTTTAAAATACCAAATATTAGTATAGTTGGTAAAACTCTTTGAACAAATTCTTCTAATGAAATGCATTTTTTCATCTCTGTACACTTTTTACAGGCATAATTCAGCAAATTAAATTAATTTCAGGTCCACCAACCATAACAAATCTAACATCAGATGCTACCAACAACATGCTAGATGAAGATTCTACTGTAACCTTAACCTGTTCTGTTGACAGTCTTCCATCTTTATTAATATCCTGGTCTAGATCACAACAAGGGGAACAACTCTATTCTGGTAGTCAATATACCATACCTAAAGCTAGTTGTCAACATTCAGATAACTATACCTGTACAGCTAGTAATAATAATAGTCAACCTGTATCTAAAACTATTCCACTCTATGTAAGATGTAAGTACAGCCAAAATATTTATATGATGCAAAAACATAAAAATGTAATTCCCCGCCCACCTGCTCTTACACCGTATCCATTGTATTGCGACAAGCGTGTTGTCACATAACATGGCACAATCATCTGGACCAGCAGTACCACGTCCTCCGGTTAGAACACCGTCCATTGAAAAAGTTTACATGGCCAGAATTGGCTTTGTGTTCCACCTTTCTCTTTAATTTCAATTATTGTTAAATCAGAATGAATAATGACGCCATAATCGTTTGTCTTAATTATAGGTTCTCCAAGAGAAAATATATTAATCAAGAGAAACATCACTAATAGAATAAATACAACAATAAATCTAGAAGTTGATATAATCGTATGTCTGTATTCCAGGTTCCCCAAGAGAAAACACGGTAACTTTGAGAAATATTACTAATAGAATAAATACAACAATCAATCTACAAGTTGATATAATCGCCTACCCTCGACCAACCTTCACCTGGTACCATATACCTACCAGACAGATAATAAGTACAGCTAGAACACAACAACTATCAACTATAAACTATAAATCAACAGTAGAGATAACTCTAAATTCTACTCTATTTGGTGATTATATAGTATCTGTAGACAATGGTATTATTGGTGTTAAAATCTTCACTATCACAGTTACTGAAGAAGGTAAAGACAATTAAATATCAATTTTAATGTTCTAATATATTTTTGGCAACTTAATTTTAAAATTAAAACTCGATTCTAGAGGTGTCGTGTTCTAACTCATCTTATAAAACGTCTTCAGTTTTAAATTTCATTAGAAGAAATTAACCTATCCATTGTTAGTACTGATGTGTCATATTCTTTTTAACACAAATCGTTACATGTGGTTTATTCGATCATGCACCTTTTGTTTTGTATAGAACCACCAAAGCCAGTAAATGATTCAGTAGAAAGTAATAACTTACCTACTATAGTTGGTAGTGTTATTGGTGTATTGGCTGTTATTGGTATAGTAGTTGTTATTGTTGGAGTAATATACCATAGAAAGGGTAAGTTAACACTAATTGTGAAGTAATACCAGTATGTTTAAAAAGTTGGTAGTATTATTGGTGTATTGGCTGTTACTGGTATAGTAGTTGTTATTGTTGTGGTAATATACCGTAGAAAGCTAAGTTTTTGAAATTATTTTTACAGCATCGACAGATAATGATAACACAAACGGTAGACTTGGAGCTACCCAATGTGCAACCGATCAACCGTTTTATGATGAAATTAATAATCCCTCTACAACAGGAACTAATGCTGCTACAGTACGTGATCATACAAACGGTAGACTTGGGGCTACCCAATGTGCAACCAATCAACCGTTTTATGATGAAATTAATAATCCCTCTACAACTAATGCTGCTACAGTACTTGTAGATTCCACATCAGTCTACTATAATACAACAAACTTGGACCACAGCGATATTACCAACCCTCCTCAATACGTCAATACACCATCGTTATCGACATATGAAGGACTGGATGCACGAAGAACGGAAACACGCCCAGACACGTATCAACAACTCAATAAGTCATCAACACCATATGAAGGACTTGATAGACGAAACAAAGACCAGCCCCAACACACTTATCAACAACTTAACATCTACGAAAACCGTAAGATGTGATCAACTAACAAGTTTGTATTCCGGTGGCTACCAGTTACGATTGCCAATTTAATGAGAACATTTGTGTTTTTGTTTCTTTTAGCACTATTACTTCATTGGTTTTATTTGGCGATTACCCAATGGTTACGTTATGTTTGTGGCTATTTTAGATAGCCTCGTCGATCACAACAAAAAAAAATGTTTGCGATATTCTGCTAAGTACTGGCTGATTGAGAAAAACCAGTTTCGCGCGTCATGACGTAATGTAGTCTCGATTGTCGTGATACACTATTTTACACTCGGCAAACCTCAGCAGATTCCAGTACCCTACATCTAGCCTCGATTGATGACGAAGTCCACCATTAGAACTACTTTCAAGTTCCCGGATTACCAACGGCGTTGCCCATTACGACGCCTTTGAAGAATGTTTTATCATACTGATGTTTCAAAGTCTGAAGCTGTTTTTCTTTCAAGTTTATCCGATTTTCTTCAAACAAGGACAACTTTGCACTGAAAATTCTACACACGCTTCGGACGACGTAATTTTGATAACTTATTTTTAAAAGCGGCAGGTTTTCCTAATAAGTAAACCGGTGACGCATCGCAATTGTATAGGCGTAGGTACATATCACTTTCCGTCATACAGCCTAGGCTAGATGTAGAGTAACGGAATCTGCCGAGGTTTGCCGAGTGACACTATTTACTGGTTTGGTTAATCCCGGTTGATTTTGTTAAGCTGTAATGTATTTGTATTGACCTTACTGTTAACCAATCATAACTAACGGGACATAATTAATAATGAAGCTAATTTCGGTACCAGGAACTTAGTTAATTCATATGTGGTAAACAATATCTGCTGTCAAAAACTAACCTCAACCTTTGCAAGAAAATAACCATGCGCCCTTTATGACTTCTTTATTAACCAATCGAACATTAATGATGACAATAATAATTTGCCTCTTACTTAATCTCAATCCTAATTCCCTTATAAAGATCGCACTTAAACAATCGAAAACAAAGTAGTGACTGTTAGTGGTGCCTTCTGGGATCCGAGAATTGTCCCTGCTGGTGTACAACATGGTTCGATTCTCGGGCATCTTTTATTTATTTCATATATGAATGATGTTTGAAATGATATCACGTCGAATATCATACTACTGGCTGATGACAAGCCCCTTTATTTACTAGTAATGGATTCCAAGGCGGACGCGGCTATCCAAAATAATGATTTGATTGCTATTATAAACTGGTCAAAGACATGGCTTAGAACTTTCAACCATCTATAAACTGAAACAATAACATTTTCAACCAATCTGGTAAAAAAAATACAGATCTATATTTCGTTTCGTTTTTTTTATACTTTCAATGACCTATACTACATGAAGATCTGACCGGTTGTAGCGATAGGTCGCGTCAGAGGTCATACGAGCGGCCTTTGGTACTATGACATCAGACATTTGATTAACCAATCTCAGCATTGATGTTACTAGTGGATTACCCACAGTTCCGTCTAAAGCTCGCTGTAACAGACCGTGGCATTGGCTAATACCTCACACCATTCAAAACACGTCAATAATAACAACTCTTCCGGATACTAGTGTAGTAAAGACAAGTAAAACGAAATTTAGAACTGTAAATAAGAAACGAAATAGGATCTATGTTTTAATCAGATTGCTTTTCAACTAAACAAATTTAAATAAACCACGTTGGCATTTGGACACCATCGAATAAAAGAAACATGGAAACATAAACACATTGGGCTAAATTTTCAAACTAACTGAAAATGGGATGTCCATGTTAAAACATATCTGTTATACAGTAGGGAAACTTATCAATTTCTTAGATAATTAAACATATATGATGCAAGAGCTAAATCTGCCAATTGCAGGTCTTTCTTTAGGCCTGAAATGTTATCTAAATTATCATTTGACACATTAGTTTTGACGTTTTACATTTAACTTTGGCCTTAGAGGTATTTTGACTTCATCATGACCGGTATTAGGACTCTTAAAAATGTCCTTATTCCAAACAATGATGTTTGGTCTGATTCAGCAAATGCCTTGCCAGATCACCAATAGGGTGACAGCGATGACGGTTTCCTTAGCTGCCCTATCACAAAACATGAAGCCAGGGACGTCAACTGGGCACGACGGTATCCCTGTTGACTTTTATAAATCATGCCTTATCATTGTTATGCCTATTCTCACTTTGATATTTAATTAAGTTTTCGACAACGGTTGTTATACAGAAAGCTGGTCGAAAGTCCGCATCTCCCCATTGCATAAGAAGGGTCCCAAATGTGAGCGCGAATTACAGAGGAATCTCGTTATTGGACTGCTTGGGTAAAAATTACAGCTCTATACGCAATAGTCGTTTGCAGGAATGGTCAGAAGCCGGTTACAGACGAAGTTACTCGACCGTTGATCAGATTTTTACCCTGCAGGGCCTAATCCCAAAATATTTGTCCAAAGCATGTGGGCGTTTATACTTTTTGTATGTAGATTTTTTCTGTGCTTTCGATTTATTAAATCGGACAAAGTCGTTGAATCTTCTGCTTGATAAGAGCATTAAAGGTAAAATGTTCACAGCCCTCAAAACCATGACCTGTAAAGTTAAGTTCTTACATGACTTCCTATTTTTATTGTACATCCGGTGTTCGCCAAGGATGAAACCTACCACCATACCGGACTAGAAGATGAAATGGAAGGAAGGATGGTCCAGGTTCCACACTCAACAACAAACTCCAAGGAAGATGTGCACCGCCCTGCCAGTCAACCGGACAAATCGACCTGATCGAGAGAAACGACTTATATATTTATATGTATATACGATGTCTAAATGTTTGTCCACGTTCATCCCTGTTTTGTCCCATATTGGTTTGTATGTATGTCCCCACTTGCACTTATCTCATTTTGCACTTGACGCTGGCTCGCTAGCCTGGAGGTCGCGTGTTCGATTCCTGCATTGGCCGAGTAAGTTCATCCAGATTTTCCGGCGTGGTTCCCCCTTGTCAGTGATGCAGGACGGAGGGCCTGACAAGGACAGCTGTCTAGTTCTTCGGATGAGACGAAAACCCGAGGTCCCGTGTATACATTGGAATGCACGTAAAAGATCCCTTGGCAGTTGGAATTCGATATAAGAGTAGGCGATAGTGCCGCTGCCCGGGCAAAATTCCCTCATAGCACACTGTATGGCGTATGCCCGTCTTCATTAGCCCAGCATAGGAGTAGAACGTTAAACCCCATTTCATTTCATTTCATTTCTCATTTTGCACTTGTCATAAAACGTTTCGTCCCGTCTTTAACTGTCTTCTGTACATATGTATATAAATATGTAATAATCCTTTAATCCCTTTTTCATTAATCACATTGTAATTAAATTATTGCACCATGTATACATAACATGTTATTGTCTGCGATATCACCTCGGTGGAAACGGACGTAAAATACAACTAACTCACACATTATATGAATCAAGGAGATGTCAGGGGTATATTCACCAATGAAGATGCTAAAAATATATTAATGTTATTATATGCTTAACTTAATCTTTGTCGGGAATTGTATTTGTCAATGAGTATTAATCAAAATGTCAAAAGAAATATCACAAGACTGCGATTAAATTTGTTTCCATTGGCTAGCAAATTGTTCAGAAGAAATCAAAACATTTCGCCAGAATGTCCATTATGAAGATTTATTCCATGTTATACTAGAATTTAAATATTACAAAGATTTAAGAGCAACCTTTTTACCGAAACAATATATTTGTCAATATCCTAATCGTTTTAAATTTAGCCAGTTATGTGTTGATTATGACTTTAACACCCGTCCGTCTTTATCAACATATCTCCAAAAATCACTTTCTCTCAGACGTTTGAATTTATGAAATTTTATTAGTTTATTATGTTACAGGCACTATATATTATTATCATTGTTTAATAAAATATCATGATTATACAAGTTTGGAATTCTGTAAATAGTTTCGGCTAATATGTAATATGTATATAGAAATATTTTGTATCTATGGATCATATGATCTGATTACTGAATGAGTGTCACGCTTCGACCTCTAGCTGGCCGGTCACCTCTGGCTTGTCTGGTGTGAGCGTATGTGGCTTGGAGATAGGGACGCCTTCTCAACCTCGTGGATTTACTCCGGGTACTCGGGTTTCCTCCCACAGGAAATGAAAATAAAAAAAAGACAACTTGTCTGCGTTATCACCTTCGGTGGAAGCGGACGTTAAACACTAAGAACAACACCTACTATACAATGCTATATACTGTCGGGGGGTCACGGTGGCTAAGTGGGTATGAGGCTGGCTCGCTAGCCTTGAGGTCTGGTGTTCGATCCCTGCATTGGCCGAGAAAGTTCATCCAGATTTTCCGGCGTGGTTCCCATTTGTCAGTGATGCAGGACGGAGGGCCTGACAAGGACAGCTGTCTAGTCGTTCGGATGGGACACTTGGAATTCGATATAAGAGTAGGCTGTAGTGCCGTTGTCCGGGCAACATTTCCCTCATAGCACACTGTATGTCGTATGCCCGTCTTCCTTAGCCCAGTTCGGAGCAGAACCCAATTTCATTTCGCTTTATACTGTCAAGATTCTACATGTACAGAACATAAAACAGAAGTTGAGGCCTATTTTGATACTTTTGTCCGATTCACTATTGATGCTAGCGAGAAATGTATTCCACACAAAATAAGTGTAATTCGAAGGCGGTTATTCCAGGGTGGAACGATCAGGCCAAGAATATAAGGAATACTGCCATGCCCTGGCAATGGTTGTGGAAAGGGAATAATTGTCCGTAATCAGGACTGCTCGCCATCATCAGAAGAATGACTTGGGCAAGGTATAATTATTCCATTAGTTTAGCTGAAAAACACGAGAATCAAACATGTTCGAGAGAGAGATGGGGTTTAACGTCCACTCGACACAAACTAGATCATTTCGGGACTAACACCTGGTTCAATTTTATTTCAATAATTCGCTTGCGCGTAGGGGTCTTTTAGCAGTGGGAGGAAACCGGATGACCGGAAGGAAACTGGAAGACCCGGAGAAAACCCACGAGTTTGGGCAGGTGTACAACCGGGGAATCGAAACCACACCAGTTGACTCAATGACAGACCGTATGATACAGCGCGCACGTGCTAACCATTGGGCCATCGCCATCTCCCACCCCACCCCACCCCACCCAAAGTCGTTCGAACAAAATGGCTGAAAATCTTATCAACATAAAAATAAGTAAAAATATTTATTATTTATTTATCATAATTTGAAACCCATGCATTAATTATTTATATAATAAACAATATTAATGTCGAAACAAATAAATGATAATCCTTGGATTGTAAATATAAAAAATAGGCAAGCACATGTACATTCAAAATGTTTATAACACATTACCTTACTGTCATAATGGCTTGTAATCCATTCACACAAATTTTTATTCAAGCGATGCATTATGTGAGATTGAGATAAAGAGCTGTTCAAAAATAGATATTGCTGAATGAATATATTGAAAATTTCATTCAAATTACTTTATTGTAGACGTAGTTATCACTGTTTGAAGTTTTGAATCAGTCTGAATTTGCCATCCTATCGTCTAGATAGTTTATTATAGGCTTGTCATGTGAATAAATGTCTAAATCAGTGATTCTCAACCATGCAGTGTGCCGCGTCACACCTGTGTGCAGCGAAATTTTGAACGGCACACTTAGAATATTTCTCACTAAAGAAGTCAGCTATTTAACTGATGAAATTCGAAAGAATGCAATAGAGTAAGTTAATAGCTGTGGTTTTCTTTATTTAATTTGAGTCCTTCTATAGGTCGATGACTAGTCTGACGGTTGTATGCCATGTTTTTATTTTGCAAAATTCAAATATTTTTTATATACATTTAGCCTGGTGTGTCGCTATTTTTCCACGTGTTCCAAGGTGTGCCGTTGGCAAAAAGGGATTGAGAACCACTGGTTTAAATAATAGTTTGTATAACATTTGAAGAAAAAATAAAGACCTGCAATAGACAGATTTAGCTCCTACATTATGCGTCCTTGAACGTTGTGTGTGTCACAGGCATTCTGATTCGAGTAACAAATATAGAAAATTAAATGCATGAATGAATGAAATAATCACAAGATTATAATATTTTGGTATGGATTTCAAGCTACTATTGCCGTAAATTTATTAAAACGGCTCAAATAATGGTACTGTATATAATTTGAAGAGATTATAAAACCACATTAATGAATACCTAGCACAGATTCGGATTAACAGGGGTGCTGTCAGGGTTGTCGACAGGGGCTCTAACAGAAAAGTGGCCCCAAAATTACTTCTAAAATGGGTTTATATAAAGGGCATAATTTATTGGCATTTAACACCTATATTGTTTAAGCTTGTTACGTTCTTGTACATAGGCTAAAATAAAATGTAGTACCATTGATGTTGATGGGCAATGAAAGTGACAAACTACTAAGTGGACTTCCTAAAGGGAACATACGCAAGTACCAAAGGTCTCACGATAGCGCATTTAATCATTTGTGACACAAGCTTCAATATAGATTGAAACTATACTAATGTCCAAAAGAAAGTATACACTGTGTATTTCGTCCTGCTTCAAACAAAGTCGTTTTTCCATTGTATGCGGTATTTTGGTACAATGTCCATTTGTCTTGCCTTTTATTTGCTTATAAATATTGGGGTTGGACGCACAAGACATGTTCAGTGTAGTTTTATCACATTTTGTTGATTCAAACAAGTATAAATCATCTTATTATTGTCGTACCTAATGTACGTTAGTGAAGCTACTAGCTACCAACGTGAAAATGACTGGGTTACAAGAATGGAACAACCATTAAGGCATCTATACTGGGGGAAACATCTCATTCACACTAATACCAATTTATAATGAACCTAGTACCTACCAGCTGCCATGCAGGATAATTTTGACCGTTTTAATATCGTTACATACACCGCCTTTAGATCCTACCGAATTTCAACCTGGGTAAGATACAGTTTGAGTTGACAATTGAATGTCATTAGACAAGTTCTATTGAGAATTCCGTTTTAATATCGTTACATACACCGCCTTTAGATCCTAGCGAATTCCATGTAAGATATAGTTTGAGTTGATAATTGCATGTCATTAGACAAGTTCTATTGGGACTCGCGGTTTAATACAACTACAAAGGCACCATGATACATGCTAGGAATAATACTGATATCCAGAAGTGTTCTGAATGATAACAAGTGTAACAAAGGGGGATAATCCACAAACGTTACACAAACATGCCGACAGGATTAGTACCACTTTTTGCGACGACTTTGATTGAACATAATCAAATGGATTACGAGGTATTCGATTCATTGTGACATATCATTATCTATTATTCTCACTCAAACAAGATTTTTTTTATTCCAACAAAATAGAAAAAAAAATACATAAAACATAATTCTAATGCCAACTTCATTTAAACATATAATGAAATACTTTGCCTCCCTAAAGTTATCGCACAGTAGCAAGTTGTGGTAGAAAGAACGGCTCATTCTATAGCCCGTTGATCTGAACGATCAAATCGCAGTTTTATCTAAAATAGACTTTCAAACGAACAAACAATACTGGTACATGAACTGTGCCATGACCATTGACGAAGTCAGTTTAAAACTTTAAATCTAGTTCTTGTATTTCACCTTAACATTACCAAAATGTAGGCCTTTATTTAAAATCCAGTACCCTAGAAATGGAAGATTTCGATTTGAAACAATGTCGTTCCTAGACATGAGATAATAGTTAAACAGATTCGACATCGTTTATTTTTTTTGTTTTGCCATTTGTATCCTCCTTATGCTTGTCCTTTTCATTATCTGACGAAGACGAACTTGAAGATTTTCGACTCTCCAGCGCAATCTCTACAGCTTCTTGAATCAACAAGGGAGCCTTAGTGTGCTGGTGTAAGTTGGGCTGGGATCCGCGAGTACTGTCGTCATCGGGAGTAATTATAATGGGAATATTAGGTTTGATTCTGTGATCTTCTGGTACACTCCAAAACATTTCATCCTCAAACAGCTGGCTCCTTTGTGGTCTAGAGAGATTGGGGACGAACTTAATTATTACACCTGTAAATTTAAATAAATTTAGGGTTAACATTTTTAAAACAAAATAAAACATCGATAATTCATGTGAAGCAAAGGCGGGCCCATCATCGTTAGTTCAAATTAGCATTCTCCAAACAATCAACATCAATCGACAAGATAATAAAGACTTCTGTTGGGCGTCATTTAAAGTAGCTAAGTCTCTAACTCAATATCACCCAAAGTCTTACACGTTGAAAACGCGAATTATTTGTCAATTCAAATCAACATTGATGTTGTGATCTTACCGGGAAAAGGTAGGCTTCTGATATCCAATATTTTAGACAAAATAAACATTTTACCATTGGTAGGCTTCCCCACCATAAATAAATATCTCCAAAAATCTTGACAATTACACCACCCTACTTGTATATATACTAAGCTTTAAATCAGTTTCACACAATTATAGTCACTAAATAAACGGTCATGTTGTACTTAATAAGATATGACCATTTAACCATCTATAAATAATATACTGAAAAATGGTTCGGAGTGTCGTCCATGACATCCAGACACTTTTGAGCAAAAAATAGGTTACGTGCCCTTGTTTTGAAATTAGTCTCAATTAACCAGTCAACCGACCATTCTTCGTCTGATTGACAGGCCGGGATAATCAAGACTACTTTTTTACGAAACATGACAGAAAGCTAGAACAAGAAATTGAATTTACAAATAACGCCCGGTGAGCGACACAACAATTGTTTTAAGAACCTTGTAAAAGTAAAACGAAACTACTGCTAGTATCATTTTCCTGCCCAACCCGCGTTATTCAGAGACATTATTTGTACTAAACCAAAAGATGCCACTCCTAACGGTCTAGTTAATAATAAAGCAATTTAAAAAATAAAACGAGCGTAATTTCTAAAGCTGCAGTAATAACCAAAAAGCTAAATATTACTGCTATTCAGAATCGTCAACAATAGATTCTTTACGTCTGTAATAGTTATTACAAGTGTTGAGAATTTCACGTGCTGTGGCTATTTATAGACACAAAGAGAGCCCGAGACTCGTCTGAAATCAATTAGAGTTACATCACTGAAGCGTGCACATTCAACGTGTCAAGTACAACTTTTAGAAGGGAAAAGATTCGGCCACGGGGCACCCTACCATTGGTACACGAATCGTGTACCATGGTGAGTTTCAGCGTCATTTGTAACAAGTGACCAAAAAGAACGAGGCTAGACATATTTCACATCTCATGTGTCATGCCATATCTTATCTGGAAAGCATACGCAATATACTGGAATAACCAGACGCTAGAAATTGCCATTCGGTTGAGACTCGTGCCGTATTTCGCTGGACGTAACTGGTTTGAAATTAGAGTCAAAACGGAAACAACTGAATGTAAATCAGTTTATATACAATCAGATTACATTATTATATGCGTTGCGACCCATTTGGGTCAATTTCTAGGTCCCAAGTATTACCGTTTTAGCTCCTTTAACTTGGTAATAAACCACAAGCGAGTCTTAAAATCCCCTACATTTATTTCACATTGATTTTTGTTAGTTAACGGAATAATTAAAGTTAATCCGAGAGAATGTTTGTTCATTGGCTGAATTTTAAATTTTGAAATTAATTTTAATTAAGTTTTGTGAACAGACTGCACAATATAACGTCAAGTTAACGAAATGTTAAGTAAGGGGCTTCCAGCAACATACTTTATCTCATTTTAGTCAGGTCAAAATATAGTTTAACCCCCAAAAATTTGTTACAAAAGGTTTCTCAACTGATTCTGGCAGGGTTTATTGTACTTTATGACATACTTAAAGTTTACCAAACTAGAACCCACGGAAAAGTGGGTTTTTTTTCAAGATGGCGAAACGTCTTAATGATCATAACTATCAACTCAAATTTGATGATCTCGGGGTCTATTTTCTAGGTTTTGGGGGGCAAAGAACACGACCTGGGGATAGACATCAAGATCATCAAATTTGAGTCAATAGTTATGGACTTGCGGTCATTTGGAGCTGTTGGCGGCCATTTTTGACATAATAGGCCAACACCAGTTTTAATGATCTTAATGTGTTCTTTGCTTACTTGTTATGATGCCAGTAACAATAGTGAGAGAGAGAGAGAGAGAGAGAGAGAGAGAGAGAGAGAGAGAGAGAAAAAATTGGGTTTAACGTCCACTGACACAAACTAGGTCATATCGGGACTAACATATGGTTTAATTTTATTTCAATAATTCGCTTGCGCGTAGGGGTCTTTAGCAGTGGGAGGAAACGTAACAATAGTGAACATGGTTACCTGTTATAATGCCAGTAACAATAGAGAGTATGCTTACCTGTTACGATACCAGTAACAATAGCTATGGCTAATGTAACAACTAAAGCTAACATCTGGTAACCAGCTTGTTCCCCAGCAGTTCTACCATCACCAGCTTCCACGTCCACATAACCCTGTATCATTGCTAACTCTGGGGTTCCTTCTTTAGGTGTCATAGCTGGAAACTTCTGATATAGACTATATAAAAGTACAAAATCAAACAGAGCTAAACTTGCCGGTGCATCATTTAAGAGGCACTATGTAAGATTTAGATAATGAAAAGGGAAAATGGTGAAAATTGCAGCCAAATTACTTAATTCAGAAAGGTGTTATTGCCGTTAGACGAACAGTGTAGTCTCGATTTTCAGTGTTACCGTAGTTGCGATAACTAGCAATAATGTTTAAATTCGTTGAAAATCAAAAGCACTCGATGGGCTAGAGCGTTGATTATGGTCTGTGCATGTGAGTAGATGTCTGATTATTTATTTATCATTTGAGGGCAAACGACAGATCTGCATTTGCATCAGGTAGATTTAGCTCTTATATAATGCATCTATCGCGATGGCGAAATTATAAAATTACAACATGGTTTTCTATAAGGAATTTAATTTATACGTTTTCTAAATCTTTAGAAAAGGGAGGTAACTTTATTTCAATAAGTCGCATGCGTGCGGGTTTTTTTTTTACCGGAGGACCCGGCGAAAACCCACAAAGTTGGACAGGCGACCCTACGCCTTGCCACGTACAACCGGGGAATCGAAACCAACGTAATTAAAGTGTTAATAGTATTAATCGTGCCAACAGTAAAATTACTCAATTACATACCCATAGCCATAAACGTCTTTGGTAGCTAATGCTGAAGCTATAGAACCAACAACAGCCGCCATTACAGCTGGCATCCCATGTAGATTATTCACACCGCATGTATCGTGCAGCTTTAATTTGCTGCTGAGAAATGGCTGAAAAAAAAAGAGAAAGAAATGGGATTTAACGTCAACTCGACCCAGACTATGTCATTTCGGGACTAGCATATCGTTCAATGTTACTTCAAGAATTCGCCAAGGAGTCCTTGGCAGTGAAACCCGAGGACCCGGCGAAAACATGTGTTAACTGGGTATCGCCAATTTAATTCCATCTAAAAATCGTTCATCTCTTTGATCCCCGCCAATAGATGACTTACCGTAACGTATCTATAACCATACGTAGATAATAGATGCCTTACCGTATCGTATTTCTAACCACACGTAGATAACAGATGCCTTACCTTGACGCGTAGATAATAGACGGCCTTACCGTAACGTATTTATAACCACACGTAGATAATATAGCCGCTACAGCGCCAACTGCTAAAGCACCCGCTGGCTGTATCATCATATCAGCACTGGTACCCACAGCGACACCTCCTGCTAGTGTAGCATTCTGTATGTGGACCTAAACATAAATATGATAGCTTTAGTAGGCGGAACACAAATTCCCAAAGGAACTCCTATTATTGGTGTTACTTAACATAAAAATATTTTTAATGATAGACCGTAATAACAACCCATTCTATATGTGAACCTTGAAATCGTTCTCGTGTCTATACTGGACAAGTTAATACCAACTGATGCCATTCAGCCATTCAACCTAAGTAACATATTAACCTAATAGTAATATTTTAACCTAAGTAACATATTAACCTAAGTAACATATTAACCTTGGTAACATATTAACATAAGTAACATATTTAACTAAGCAACATATTATCCTAAGTAACAAATTAACCTAAGTAACATATTAACCTAATAGTAATATTTTAACCTAAGTAACATATTAACATAAGTAACATATTAACATAAGTAACATATTTAACTAAGCAATATATTAACCTAAGTAACATATTTACCTTAGCAACTCACCAACCTAAGTAACATATTAACCTAAGTAACATGTTAACCTAAGTAACTCATTAGCCTAAGTAACATATTAACCTAAGTAACTCATTAACCTAGGTAAACTATTAACCTAGGTAAACTATTAACCTAAGTAACTCATTAACCTAAGTAACTCATTAACCTAGGTAAACTATTAACCTAGGTAAACTATTAACCTAAGTAACTCATTAACCTCACTCATTAACTCATTAACCTAAGTAAAATATTAACCTATGTAACATATAAACCTATGTAACATATTAACCTAAGTAACATAGTAACCCAAGTAACATATTCACCTAAGTAACATTGTAACCCAAGTAACATATAAGCCTAAGTAACATATTAACCTAATAAACCTAAGTAACATATAAGCCTATGTAACGTTAACCTATTAAACTGAAAGTAAGATTAACATAAGTAACATATTAACATAAGTAACATATTAACATAAGTAACATAATATTAGTATTTAATAAGTTATGTTGTTAGATGAAACAGAACTTACCATGTCAAATTTTCTATTTTTATCGACAAGGGATGAAATGGCGAAAGTGACAACACAGCACGATGCTAGAGCCATGTATGTATTTAAAACAGCTCGTTGTTGAGCATCACCTACTGCCAAAGCACTATTAAAACTTGGCCAAAACAACCATAGAAATATTGTACCTTAAAGTAAAAAGTATATTTAATAAGTGAATAAGATAAGAAAGTCATGTCAGAAGTTAATTTAAAGACTATTAAAATACTGCCTCAGGCAATAACACTAGTTGTATAAATAAAATAGGCGTGGACCAGTTTGTTTATATATACTCTTCAAAAAAAGTAGGGGATATTGAAATGCAAATACCTATGCAGGTTGTGATATGATAAATAGTCATGGACACTTGACATGCTTTGAGAGTATGTTTACAGATGAAGAACTTATCGCCCGAACAGAACCACTGAGCTGACGTGCGACACGCAATAGCGCCATACACGTGGGAGGGGTTCATTGTCAAATTTGACACTTCAAGGAAGGATTAATGATTGGTTTCCTATCGGTTCTTGCATACGATTTACTGTTTAGCGTATCTTTGCTTTAGTGTGTTACGCTTAGTTTACAATGAGACGTCTTCAACATGATGAACGTCTACGTGCTATTGACATGCTTCAAATGGGTTCTACACAACGAGCAGTAGCCAACATGCTTAATGTGTCACAGTCTGTGATCAGCAGACTGTGGAACTGGTATCAACAAACACACAATGCTGATGATAGACCTCGTTCAGGTCGTTCTAGAGCCACTACACAAGCCCAAGATCGATACATTCGTACACAGGTCCTACGAAATCGAGGACAAACTGCCAATCAGCTGTCTGTAAACTTGTACCAAGTTACAGGAATTCGAGTTACACCCCAGAAATCGGCTACATGCAGTCCATTTGCATGCGCGACGACCGCGTGTTGTGCCTCCATTAACTCGCCAGCACATGACAAACAGGCGTCAATGGTTTAGGCAGCGTAGAAATTGGGGTACTCGTCGAGATGGGCGCGTGTAATGTTCTCAGATGAGTCAAGATTTACTCTGGATTTCACCAATAGGCGTGCTCGCGTTTGGGGGCGTGTAAATGAGCGTCATGCTAACGTGAACGTCAGACAGCATAACAGATTCGGGCGTGGGTCTGTTATGGTGTGGGGAGGAATCACCAAGACTGGCTTGCATATTGTTCAGGGAAGGGTCACTGATGTGTACTGCCATGAGCACATCCTGGCACCGATAGTTCTGACCTTTGCTCAACGTGCATGTCGACGTTTCATCTTTCAAGATGATAATGTCCGTGCCCACCGCGCTCGTGTCCATATGCCTTGGCCAGCCATGAGTCCTGACCTTTATTCCCTATAGAGCATGTCAATTTCAACCGACAACACTGCAAGAATTGGCCATGGCACTGCAAGAGGAGTGGGTTAGATTGCCCCAAATCGTGATTGGACGGTTGATTACGTCCATTTTCACTATTGACAGTGTATCTCTTTGCGAGTGAAATGAGACCGTCAGATAAGCCGCCCATATGAACTGTTTATGTTCATGTGTAGGCAATTGGCCTGTTGTAACCATAGACAATGATAACTATGGACCAGTTTGTTTATATACATTAATACAAGACAATCAGACTCAACCATTAAAGGACAATATTGGTGTCAGCCAGTATCACATATGTGATAGAACTGGTTTACACAGTGCTAGGACTATCTAGGAAAAAGTGCTAAATTTTGGATGTTTGGGTTTGGTCCGGTTCACTGATTTTAATTGCTTGGTATGCTGATCTAAACAACAGGCCCGTCTTGAGTAGCATTGCCCTAATATAAATTACATAAGCGTTGACAACTATGAACCGGCCAGTGGGAGTAACAAATAACTTAACATTTTAATTTCTAAAATAAAAATCTCATTTTATATAAAGTCTTTGATATCAGTTGTTTAGTCTTCCAAAAACCAAGTTTTATCATGCTGAGCTATTTTTGTACGCCCATATTTTCAAGTGGACGTGTATTGAGTTGCCTCTGTCAGCCCACAATTTATTTGTGGACACACGGTTCCTTTCGATATTGGCATTTTATCCAATATTAAAAGCTGTTCTAACATATCACCATTCCACCCTAATTTTGGTTGAGTTCGAATTTCATGAAAATCGGATCGAAACTGCCCGCTCCTCGTTCGCAAATAGTGTAAAAGTATATAATACCAAGGTTGTGGACACTGTAGAAGTCAAAAAAATTTTATCAGATTTTGATCAAACTTAAAATATATGTCTATATTCCACGGATTTTTGTTTCTTTCCATATTCGCACATATCGGTCCGTAACCTCCTAGATTATGGACCCTGGGTGTACCAAAAATTACAGTTTATACCCGATTTTAAAAACCGTTTAAATATACACCGTTACACCCTGGGTTTGAATTTCGTGATAATCGGATCGAAGGCTGTGGTCCCTCTAACGATTTGTATCCGGTTTTGAAAAAAACTTAATATTATATGTTTATGTATCAAAGATCTCGGTTTGATGTTCGCTTATATCGGGCCTAACTTCTTGCCTTGTGGCCCCTATTGTACGAGAAATTGTAAGAATAATACTACGAGTTCTTGATGTGGAAATTTACACGGAAATATTTATTTATGGCTAGGGATATGATATCATATCTTTCTTATCTAAATTAGATCCTGCTTATATATCAACACTTTTCGACTTTCGTGTTTTGAAGGGGCGAAAAGTAGAAATTATGAATGGTAGTTATAGGCTTCCATAAAATTGTAAGGCAAAATAAACATTTTACCATTGGTTCACGAATGCCTTTAAGTGCCATTTATAACAAGGGACTCGAAGGACGGGGCTAGATATATTCCACAAGTAACTCAAACGGTTACGTCATATTCCTATCTGGAGAGCATGCGCAATAAATACTAAATCAGTTTATGTACATTCATATTACATTATTATTTGTGTTGCGAACCATTTGTGTCAATTTTTAGGTCCTAAATATAAGCGATTTAGCACCTTTAAATAACAAATACATGTAGATTGTTTTGGGGTGACCTTTTCCCTGTATGTAAATAATCAGTAAATGTTCATATTTTTGCACCAAAATAGATAATTTTGGATCAAATTTTCTTTTACTGATAATTGATAAGTTCGTAAATAGTATTGTACGATGGATCAATAGGTCATTAATATTTCGATATTGACCCCTTTCTATAGAAATCAATATATAATTGGCAATCGTAATGTGCTCAACAACCCTTGTTTTACTTATGAATATTTATCTCCACAAGAAAAAGTTCCAAAATCATTTAATTGGTTAACATCAAATTGGTCAATATCAAAGTATATGAGTAAAATAATGTAAGATATTTTATACCCTGGCTTAGACAAGCTGCTGTAGATATTACATCAAATTAATAAGCTTATTATTACATTATGTAATATTTGAATCATTTTTTTTTTATTTTATTAAATTGTTATTAAATTTGTTTATTTCTGTGTTTAATTTGATTAGTTTTTCTTATTCTCTTATTCAAATTTCATAGAATCTGATTCCAAACCCATCTAGCTTTAGTTTTACATTCTAAATATAGAGCAGTGTAATATGACACTTATACAATACACCATCTGAATAGATAATAATTGGGCTACAATTTATTGTCTTTGAGAGGATGATGACAGGATTCTCTTCAACAAATCTTTGAGGTCACATTCCCAAACTTGAAGAAATCTGGCTGATTTCTAGTTGGTCTTAAGACTGTACACATTCAAATTATAATTTTAACACACAGATCATGGCTACGGTAGATGTGTAATGAGGATTTCAAGAATCGGAAGTTAATGACTGAATTAACTAGTGATAACAGATACACAGTCTCATATTACAACGTTTCGTCTTTAACGGGATTGCTAGTGAGCAGAAAGTCGCCCGTGTATATGTTATCACTCGTCACTTCAGTCAGTTATATAGAAGGATAATTCGTGTTTTCCTTTTGCTTTCGTCACTTTCGCTTCTTCAAATCGTCGTTACGCTTCTATCGTAGCAAATGATGTCTGTGTTAAAATTATATTTGGAAAGTGCTTAACCGGTTCTATCACATATGTGATAATGGCTGACAAATGAAATGAAATGAAATGGGGTTTAACGTCCTGCTAATAATGGGTGACACCAATATTGTCCTTTAATTTGAAATTATCGGATTTATAAAATACCAGCTAGAAATGTTTATCGACACTTCATTCCATTTTACGTGTAATATAAACGCTTGGGCCATTAATTAAACACTATTCTGATATTTGTCAAATATCTGGAAATGTCAGATAAACATTAGAGTCACTTTTAAGTGTATATCAAACAATGGCTGATTCCCTTCAGCGTGCTTAAATATGCTTTATACATCACGTTTCCAGGGCCGGCGGAAGCAACTCTTGATTGGGGAGTGGGGGGAGCTACCATCCTAGGGCTTCAGGCGAGATTCTAGATCGTAGGAGACGCTTTCTGAGCGATTTCATCATGAAAACACAATCTATGATGGTTTAATCATGTGATGCTGAACTTGCCAAATATATGCATTATAGTACCAAGGTTGTGGACACTTTAGAGCTCACAATTTTAATCTGATTGTGATGAAACTTACAATGTATGTTTATAACCGAAAGATCTCGGTTCCTTGCGATATTGGCGCATATAGGGCCGTCACTTCCTGGATTATGGACCCTGATTGTACGAACAATCACATTTTAGCTCGTGGATCCTGTTGAATTTACAGTATTTATGTGATTGCAAAAACGGTTCAATTATATATCAAAGTTTCACCATAATTATGGTGAAAGTCGTACCGAAGCTGCCCGACAAAATGGCGGCTCCCTTAAAAGCATATAATACCCAGGTTGGATCTATTATGGATACCTGCAGAATTCGTCAAGGTCACGAAATGTAAACAGGGCTAACGCTAAATATGTATGGATTTTGTAGGCAGCCCCCCCCCCCCCCCCCCGCCTCGCTCCACTCCGCCGTACCAGGATATTTGCATCAATAATGTAAATATATATACTCTTTATGACTGCTGACATAATGATATACTGCAACTGGTCGCACAGACCGATGAAGGAATAACCTCCGATCTCTATGTGTACACGTTTCGTCCTAAGACATGACAACGTGTACCGTGTTACTGTTCTTGATTTTTAGCAGTTTAGGTATCAGCTCTTGCAATTTTAAAAGACTTGGGACAAATCATACGAATGTATCTATAAAAAACATTCTGGAGATTCTAAAATGGAAGGAAATAATAGTTGTGTATGATGATGATGAAGATGGTGGTGGTGGTGGTGGTGGTCGACTAAATTATGTGTTTATAAATGATCTGTTGACCATGTTGGATGACCATGACGTCAAGAGAACAGTTTACAAGATGCAATTTTCTTATCTGAATGGTTATTTAAATGAAATACACAACGAACATTTTCCTAAAATTCAAATTGTGTATGTTACAACGGATAATCCACAAATTGTTTCTCGTGTGATGAAAACTGTTAATAACTTTGATTTTAATTCAAACAGGACAACCGACTTCAGGGTAAAATCAAAATGGCTGCTACTAACGTATCCGGTTGTGACAAGGGCACTTGTAGACATTTTAACGGAATTATGCCACGTGACAGTCATCCACCAGTATAGCGATGGATGCTTTGAGTTAAATGCTCTTGTCAAAAAAGTTAACGGAGGCAGCTGGACTTCTATTCCGAAACTATCAAAAGCTGAAGATGTTTTTCCAAATGTACGTTTTCATTTCAATGGGATGAAAATTGTATTAGAGCTTTACCATACAATCTATTGCAAAAGAGAGTTATCAACGGCACATCAGTATTTGGTGGATGGATGTTTGATCTGCTAGAGGACATGGCGGCGGATTTAAATTTTTCCTACGAAATACAGGAACAAAACGATGGTATTTGGGGTGTGAGGGTAGCTGGAAATGACACATGGACCGGTTTGATTGGTCAGGCACAGCGCCGTGAGATTGATGTTGCGTATGCAGGGTACATGGTTACTGAAGACCGGAGTCAGGTTATGGATTTTATCCTTCCTGCACTTGATACCACATCTATGGTAATCATCTATAGAAACATTGGAGAAGAAGATAATTGGGCAGCTTTGTTGAAACCATTAAATACTAACGTTTACATCGCAATATTCGTATTTTACGCAATGTTATCATGTCTATTAATAGCGTCTGAGATATCCCTCGACATGGCCTTGGAGCAAAATGGTGAATACCCGAAGTCTTGGCAGATAGCTTTTTATCTATTAGGATGCCTATTTCTTGAGGGAAGTCACATCCAACCTAAAACACGTAAAGGACGAATCTTGTATGCATCGTGGTGGATGTTTTGTGTAACTATTGCCGCTGTTTATACGGCTAATTTGACTTCTTCTCTTCTGGTCAGAAAAACAAAAATACCCTTTAGGTCATTAGAGGAACTAGCTGAAAAGGAAAACTGGAATTATGGCCTGATGAAAGATTCCGGTATTCAGGATATTTTTGAGAAGGCTTCAATCGGTGTGAATAAGAAAATATGGACAGGGATTGTAGAACAGAACGAAATCAATCCTTCCGTACTGTCCGACAATTTGGATTATCTTCTGGATAGAGTGTTAGATGGTAACTTCGCTTTAATCCATGTAGGTGCTTTAGACAACATCATTTCTAGAAACGACTGTCTGTTGTCCGTTGTTGACCATATTTTAATGTCGCAATACATATCCTTTGCCGTGCCTCTAAATTCTCCACTCAAGGATGACCTAAGCCGATATATGTTCAGGCGATTTGACGCAGGGATGATTGCGAGTTACCAAAACAAGCTTAAAGAAACGCCATTGTGTACCAGTACAAGAGAGAAAGACAAAGTTCAAGGTTTTTCTATGAACAATATTAAGGGATCTTTTTGGATCCTTGGAATAGGTTTATTTGTATCTCTTGTCTCACTGTTACTAGAATATCCATGTAAGACTATGAAACACAAGGTTGGCGTGGAGAGACATCGTCATTAATGTAGTCACCAAATGAAAGCTATCCACCCTGCATTCCTTCAAGCACAAAATTAAACATACATTATGCAAGAGCTAAATCTGCCTATTGCAGTTTTTTCTTTAGGCCTGAAATGTTATCTAAATTATTAATTAGACATTAATTAACTTATCCAGACCATAATCAACTCTCGATGGCATCGCTAGGCTGCGATGTTTATTGGATTAGGTTCCGATTTGCTGTTCGACTTCCATTCATAATTAAATCATGAATTAGATAATTAAAACTATTTTTTTTATCCTTCCAACTTTAGTAATGATGATAGAAGCTATGCCGAAAATTCAATCGCTAAAATCTCGGTTCATAGTGGATCACTTTGACTGAAATTTCCAGGAAATTCCCTTTACATTATCTAGTTTTCCACTATTATAGTGAGAACTCCCAGCTCTTTATCTAATTTCCCATAATCTATCTTTAAATATCTTTTCTCTATTTTCGTGGACTAAACATGCGGCCCAGGATCGCGTCACCCTGTACAATCGTGTCTCACCCAGGACAATGGGGGGGGGGAGAGAGAGAGAGAGAGAGAGAGAGAGAGAGAGAGACCCAAACGACAACCCCTGTCCTTGTTACGTACAAGCTTCTATAATAATGAAGACTGCTAGCTATATTTAGAACTAGAATTAGGAATTGGCAGAGAAGTGGGTTTTCTATTATCTCTGGTATATTATAGTTCTACGTACCAACCATAGAGAATATATCGGAATGATAAACAGATCCTTCTTTTGTTGAGTGCTCGACATCTTCATTGTATAACACTCTAGCCATGGCTAATCCAAAAAATGCTCCAAAAGCGTGAAGAAAAATAGATCCTCCAACATCAGAAACCTACAATAAACAATATTTATATCTTTTAAGTGGTTTCAGATATCATAGAGAACTGTTGACTCTGTCTAGGTTATTTATAGACTGACCAAGCCCCCCACCCCCACCCCGCCCCGCCCCGCCCCGCCCACAACTTCATTTAGCTACAAGTAGTGACTATTTCGTACGCCTTACCTGTAAAAACTAGAACATCTCAAATCGTTTTTGATTAGATAATTAATGTATATTCGACATTTGTTGAAATACATCCCCCACCCACCCCAACTTAACTATGAGCAATGACAGGTTTCGTATACGCGGCATTGTACAAATATCAAATATGCTTTCTAGAACATCTCATGCCACTTTTGATTAGAGTCGTTAACATAACTAACATATCTAAGAAGAGCGAGAGGACATCTGTAATTTGTATGATCATTCAAAGATGTGTTTAGATATATATCAGCGAAGGCAGCGTGGCGTTAGGCCAAATAATTTACATTTCTAGATACCGCCCAGGGTTTATAGATAGTCAAATAACGAGGTTAATCATATTATGTCGTGTATTTTGTGTCGTGCCGTAAAATAACGACATCAATAGACTCAATGACAGACCTTATGAATTCATGCGCACGCTTTAATGCCACATGACCACCATGTCCACCGCCCGAAACCAGTCAAACACTAACCTTAAAATATGTAAGACCTATCCATTCGTTAGTTGAGGAAAAAACAACTTCTAGCATAGCCACAAACACCATCTGAATAGGACTGACTTTACCCAATACAGCACCAAATGTTATTAATACTGTTGCAGCACCGAAATCTGCCGTGATCATACTGTAAAATAGACAGAATAAATTGTTTTATGAACATCCATTGTACAGAATGTTATAAAGATGTATTATGTAATATTTAAATAAGGAGAGAGAGAGAGGGGGAGGGAGGGGGTCTTTGGTCTTTAGTAGTGCGAGGAAAGCGGAGGACCCGGAAAAAGACCCACGAGGTTGGACAGGCGACCCTACTCCTTATCACGTAAAACTGGGGAATCGAAAAAAAAATAAATATAATTTATATGTTTAGAGAAAAGGAGGTAATAAATATATACTTAATCGTACAAACTGTCCACTCGACACAAATTAGGTCATTTTAGGACTAACATATGTTTCAATTTTATTTCAATAATTCGCTTGCGCCGAGGGGTCTTTAACAGTGGGAGGAAACCGGAGGACCCGGAGAAAACTCACGAGACTGGACAGGCAACCCTTCTCCTTGTCACATACAACCGGGAAATCGAACCCACGCCAGTTAACTCAATGACATATCTTATGATTCAGCACGCACGCGCTAACCATTCCGGCATTCACTCCTCTTTAAATAAGGAAATGACAGGTCTCGCTACATTAGTTTGAAAATTGATAATGCAAAAGAAATATATTGAAAATATCAGTCAAATTACTTTATTCTGAGCCAATTTATGACTGGAAGAATAACGTAGTCTCGATTTTCATTGTTATCGTGTTTACGATAATAAACAAAGTCTCGATTATCCATTAAATAACATTATTAAATGACGATTGTATTTCAATCAGTTTAAATCCCCGTCATCCGATGTTCTAGAGAGTTGATTATGGGTTTGTCATGTGAATAAATATCTCAATAACAATTTATAGAACCTTTCAGACCATAAGAAAGTTCTGCAATAGGCAGATTTAGCTCTTGAATAATTAAATAATGCATGTTTAATACTGTCGGAGCATTGAGATCTGCCGTTATATTTGTACCTGTGTTTTAATATTCTGTACAAAACATGTTTGTTTTCCATTTTTCGATTGATCCATTGTTTATTTTTGTTAAGGGATATGTATCTCAGTTTAACTCTGTGACTGGGATAAGGTATCCAATTGTAGTCACGTTTCTTTCCGGTCATCGGGATTTTCCGACGTGGTTTCCCCTTATCAGTGATGCAGGACGGAGGGCCTGACAAGGATAGATGTCCAGTCGTTCGGATGGGAAAAAAACCGAGGCCCCGTGTATACATTGGCGTGCACTTAAAAGATGTCTTGGCAGTTGGAATTCGATATAAGAGTGGGCCACAGTGCCGCTGCCCGGGCAAAATTTCCCTAATAGTACACTGTATGGCAGTTGATCTTCATTAATACACTTGGAGCAGAACAGTAGGACGTTAAACCCCATTTTATTTCATTCATTTCATTTCATTGCAAATATGAGATTTTAGCATGTGTGACAACTATGGGGTTCAAGCATTTACGTCATATATACCTTAGCCCGGTTGATACAAAAAAACACATTTCATCTCATTGCATATAATATATGAGATTTTAGCATTTGTGACAAGCATGGGGGGTCATACCCACACGTGATATATACCTTGTAAGACTGATGTGAACCTTGCCATGTGCATGTAGATAACCTTGAACTAGGGTAGCCCACTGCAGGACGATAGCTGCTATCAACATATTAATACCAACGGCACTGAAACCATATCGCTTAAGAAAGGTCATGAGAAACCCGAAACCAACAAAGATCATAACATGAACATCTTGAAACACTGAAAAACATAAGAGATATATTATGAATAGGTTATAGAATATTGGGTAAGATATTATGACTGATATACTTTAAACTAGTCCTTTATTTATCAATTGCTTTATAAATAAATGAAATGAAATGGGGTTTAACGTCCTACTGTTCTGCTCCGAATGGGCTAATGAACACGGGCTTATGTCATACAGTGTGCTATGTGAGACATTTTTCCCGGGCAGTGGCACTATGGCATTCTCTTACATCGAATTCAAACTGCCATACTGTGTGCTATGAGAGAAATTTTGCCTGGAGAGCGGCGCTACTCTTAGATAGAATTCCAACTGCCAGGGATATTTTACGTGCACGCTAATGTGTACACGGGATCTCGGTTTTTCTTGTCAGGTCCTCCGTCCGGGAGCGAACCCGCTACCTCCAAGCTAGCGAGCCAGCGTCTTACACACTGAGTCATCGTGGCTCCCTGTTTGCTACGTACATACCTTATGATATAATGTGCACGACGGCACCCGACCTACTATAACACAAATGATTGACGGTTAGATATCTATCTATCTATCTATCTATCTATATATATATATATATATTTGTGACTGTCGTTTGTCTGTCTGTCTGCCTGTCTGTCTGTTCGGGGTTGGCGGCTACACTAGGTCTGCCCCGAGTCTGAAATTTGGGGTATAGGGGTAGCTCGGACCGGGAAGTAACATAGGCCAGGTGGCGTTAGTCTACCATTTCCGGTTTCGGAGTTATGACCCCCGAGCGAAGCCGGTCTGTTCGGGGTTGGCGGCTACACTAGGTCTGCCCCGTGTCTGAAATTTGGGGTATAGGGGTAGCTTGGACCGGGGAGTAACATAGGCCAGGTGGCGTTAGTCTACCACTTCCGGTTTCGGAGTTATGACCCCCGTGCGAAGTCTGTCTGTTCGGGGTTGGCGGCTACATCTGCCCCGAGTCTGACATTTAGGGTATAGAGGTAGCTCGGACCGGGGAGTAACATAGGCCAGGTGGCGTTAGTCTACCACTGCCGGTTTCGGAGTTATGACCCCCGAGCAAAGCCGGGTATCCTGCTAGTATATATTATATATATATGATATATTATTCAAACATAACCAAGTGTTACAAATCCTAATTTATTATGCCTAAGACGTGGAAAGGAAGTTATTGAATTAATGTAACATATGGATATAAATAAACCATACACTAAAATATGAAAAAAATACTCGGTGTTTAAAGAAGCTAAATCGCTAATATTTGGGAGCTAGAAATTGACACAAATGGGTCACAACGCATATATTAATGTAATATGAATGTGTATAAACTGATTTACATCCAATCGTTTCCGTTTTTACTACTCTAATTTCAAATCAGTTATGTTCGGCGAAATACGCCGGTTATTCAAGTCTACACCGATAGTATTTTTTGCGCATGCTCTCCAGATCAGAATTTGACGTGCCTGTTTGACATGACTCGTGGAATATGTTCAGCCTCGTTCTTCGAGTCCCTTGTTACAAATGACGATGAAACGCATTATAGTACACGATTCGTGTACAAATGGAAAAATGTTTATTTTGTCTTAAATTTTGGATATCAGAGGCCCATCTTTTCCCGGTAAGATCACAACATCAATGTTGATGTAAATTGACAAATAATTCGTGTTTTCAATGTCGAGACTTAGCTACTTTAAACATTATTACCAAAGCTGATGTATGAATCTCCTTTCAACAATAACAGATAATATTCTCCATCTATATTAATATTTGTGACTGTCGTGTGTCAGTTGGTATGTCTGTTCAGGTCTGGTGGTTATACAAGGGCTGTACCAAGGCTGAAATTTGATGTATAGGGGTAGCTCGGACCGGGGAGTAGCATTGGCCTGGGTGATTTGTCCTACCGCTTCCGGTTATAGGCATTTCGGGACAAAGATATGTTTCAATTTTATTTCAGTAATTCGCTTGCGCGTAGGGGTCTTTGGACTTCCTGCGCAGTGGGAGGAAACCGGGGGACCCAGGGAAACCCACGGGGTTGGAATGGCGACTCTACCCCTTGTCACGTACAACCGGGGAATCAAAACCACGCCAGTTAACTCAATGACAGGTCTTATGATACAGCGTGCATGTGCTAACCTTTCGGCCATCCAACCCCCGTGTCTATTCAGGAACTGTCGAATTTAATACGAAACAGAGAACGAACAGTACAGGTAAGCGACTCTGAAATGAAATTTTAATTAAAAATAGGTTTAGCGTGTTATGTTTTTTGCTCTATCTGGGCTAAAGAAGACGGTCATATACCATACAGTGTGTTAAGAGGAACATTTTGCCCTGACAGCGGCGCTACAGCCTATTCTTATTTCTTATACGTGCTCCCAAAACTGTACGAGTTTTCGGCCCGTCCGGACGACTGTCCCTCCGCCCTGATAAGGGCAGACCACGTCGGAAACCGATGAACCTTCTCGGCCAACAGTTGGGATGGCGAGTCAATGCCTCACCCACTGAGCCACCGCGGCGAGTTTATGCAGCTCAAGTGTAAATCTCCAGAGAAGGTTCCAATTATAGTAAACACAAATTTTCAATAAAAAGGAAGGGCGGGAAACCCCCTGCGCCCCCGCTCTGCATCCATGCTTGCGCAGTGAACGTCTTTGGTGTTAACTAAATGTAGTTGTAGCTTGCGTATTGACATTCTCTCAAAGATAGCCCTGACCCTTGGCAATAGACGACATTTTTTTGTGTCATAATGTTTTACTGAAAACGTAGTGTATTCATTTCAAATCTTAATGTTGTTTTCCAAGCAAGGGATCTGATTGGTTAACCTTTGACATGATTACGCGTAGCGGTCTTTAGCAGTGGGAGGAAACCGGAGGACCCGGGGAAAACCCACGAGACTGGACAGGCGACCCTATTCCTTGCCACGTACAACCGGGGAATAGAAACCACGCCATTTGACTCAATGACAGACCTTATGATACAGAGCGCACGTGCTAACCATTCGGCCATCCAACCCCCCTTACGGGAATTAACTTCCGACCTTGAACACTTGACACTAGACGCCAATCTTTCAATTTAGGCAGGCAATATATCAAATGCATGTCATAAAATCGGGGGTTTTAACGTCCTACTTTTCTGCATCGACTGGGCTAGTAACGGCTGGAACTGTCACAGATTCCTTTACGTGCATGTCATTGTGTACACGGGACCTTAGTTTTTCGTCCCTTTCCGAACGACTATATAGACACTGTCGTTGCAAAACCCTCCATCCTGCCCAGCTCACAGGGAGTAACGTTAGTGAGCCAACGTCTATTTCACTGAGCCACCGCGCTTTCCTATTGTAAAAACCTTGACATGGTTCTCATAACTCACCTGGCAGAAAATTAACATATATTATCTTTAAAGGATCTAAATCTATTTTAAATAGCCATCATGGCCGACCTGAACACAAATAATAAACATAAAGTTAGAAATGGCCTCGGGTAAAATGTAGTAGGTCGTTAAATATTTGAAAATATGTCCCCGTGCGAGTGTTGACGACTCGTCCCATTAATTAACTAGGTCCTGGTGGAGAATTACATCAACCGAAAGACATCTATTCACAAATATTGTAAAGGTGTATTACAGCGGACAGGTATATTACCTAGGAATGTTGTCTTTAATAAGAGGTTTCTTTTACCTGTAATTTTACCTGTGATTTAAGTACTTACTCCATTCTTCTTATTAACATTACTTCATACTTTCCATATAATAGAAACTAATACTTGTTTATATGGACCGTTGAAGCAGAATGAAACGTTTCAGATATCTGAGACCGACAGTTTCATTAAAATTTAACAGACAGAAATAGAGCAGCTAAGTATAACAATTCTCGACCGGGGAAAGGATGTTTTTTTCTGATATTTGAGTTGCCCATTCAACGTTTTTATAACAAGGTGGCGTCCTTACTGCGGGGATCTGGTGGGAGTATAAGAGAGAGAGAGAAAGAGAGAGAGAGAGGGGGGGTTAACGTCCACTCATTTCGGGACTAACAAATGGTTCAATTTTATGTCAATAATTCGCTTGCGCGTAGGGGTCTTTAGCAGTGGGAGAAACCGAAAACCCACGAGGTTGGACAGGCGACCCTACTCCTTGTCACGTACAACCGGGGAATCGAAACCACGCCAGTCGACTCAATGACAGACCGTATGATACAGCGCGCGCACGTGCTAACCATTCGGCCATTCGGGGTATAAGAGACACCTTAGGTGAAAGTGAACGTAAAAATTAGGAACGAACGAGTGAACGAACTAGAGCTGCGCATGGTGAGTCTGATACATGGAACACTTTTCAGTCCAAATAATTCAACTGTTGACCCATTGTTATATATATATATAAAAAAAAACAGAAATAAAACGAAATAGGTTTAGCGCCCTTTTTTCTGTTCTGCACCAATCGAGATAATAAAAGCGGACATATTGTTGTGTGCTATGAGGGAAATGTTGCCCAGCCAGTGGCAGTGGCATTTCCGCTTTCTATCTCAAAATGGCCGAAATATCTCTTAAAATTTTATATAAAATCTGAAAAGAATCATTTTAAAACTTTCAAACAGTTATAATTCAGAGTTATATATCACCGTTCGGTTTTACAATTTATTATGTTTGATCTTATCTTTAAAAGCTAGTGTATATTTTTATATTGTTTACTGTTTTCTATACAACCCCTTTCAACTGAATAAAATATTATTTAAACTAATATATCACTGTTATAAATCAACTGATTTACGTGTGTATAAAGTAGTTATTGGTTGTATGTGTACTCTAGTTATAACTCATCTAGGTTATGTCTAGATGTAAAATATTCGCTAGTCGTGTCATCCTGTGTTTTGATTTGATTTGATTTGATTTTATTTAAAATTTGAACATGTATTTATGCCCTGGGCATTTAATTATAAACTATGTGAATATATTGTATATCGATTTAATATCGGTATATTCGTACAGCTGCTTGTTATTATTTTTCCTTTCATATATCAAATTTTGAACGTACGTGTTTAGGGCCCACCATCTGTTTTGGTCCGATTGGTGAGGTAAAGGTATCTAGTCGCTCGGGTGGGTTGGTAAACTCGAGGTCCACCAGTTGACATGTACCTTTGATCAATTTGATAAATAGTAAGCAGAAACGCCGCTGTCGGAGTTACCCCGGCAAACTTTCTCGGCCAATACCGAGATCGAACCAGCGGATTTCCAGGTTAGCAAAGTCAACGTCTTACTCATTGAGCTGCCGTGGATCCCAAACACGATCAAGTGTACTATGTACATTATACAAAAACGCAGCGCTAAGTGTTACAAATCTTAATTTATTATTGTTAAAACGCGAGTATAAATCATCTGAACGGGGAGTTATTAAATGTGTGTAGCACATTGATATCGGTAAATCCATCACTAAAATATGAAAAAAATACTCGTTATTTTAACATCATAAACAAATCTGGTATATGAATCTATTGTTAATGGCAACACATAATATTATCCTAAGCGATATTATTTATAATTTGTTTGATAGGTCCTGTAAAGTGTGTATTAGGTCGTGATGGGCCGTATTACGTAGTATGTGATGGTATCGGGGTGGTATTAGGTCGTGATGGGCGGTATTGGGTAGTATGTGATGGTATCGGGATGGTATTGGTTAGGTAGATATTAGGAGTATTGGGCGGTATTTGTTGGTATTTGTTGGTATTGATTGATATATAGACGGTAGATTGGGATGGCATTGGGGTGGTACTAAGTAACTCATCCGGCCTTAAAGCAATTATTTACAGCAGATTTAATGAAATTAATCTTGATAAGACGTGAATTAAACATACACAAAACATGAATCAAACATACATTATACAAGAGCTAATTCTGCCTAGTGAAGGTCTTTCTTTAGGCCCTAAATGTTATCTAAATTATTAATTAGACATTAATTAACATGGCAAGACTTTAATCAACTCTCGATAGCATCTTATGTGTCGGATTTTCATTGGATTTGAATCCGTTCTGCTACTCAGCGCTCATTCATTATTACATCCAAAAATGGATAACCGAGACTATGTTGGGTTTTTTTTATCGTACCGACTATAGTTACGATGATCGAGTCTACGCCTAAATTTCAATCGCTTGTAATTCGGTTCAGAGTGGAGCAATTGGACTGACATTTTCAGTATATCCCTTTTATATTATCTAGTTTTTAACTACGGTCTGTTAAGAATGGCCATCTCTTCAAAAAAAACTCTTAACTAATGTATCTTTAAAGCATAATGTTAAATGTGTTTGTAGGACGCTAATAAAGTGCACGCAAAAACCGGTAAGACAAACATGCGGACAAGACAAACTACACAGACATTGCAAATAATAAACAACAAAATCAAAACAAGTGAATGGATCCAGGTCTGTGAAGATGTGACAAAGCAGTATGAATCTGATCAAATCTGATTGACTTTGAGTTTCTCGTTATAAACCCACGAACACATGACAAATCTGACTGACATTGAGTTTTGCGTTTTAAACCTACGTCCTCATGACAAATCTGACTGACTTTGAGTTTCGTGTTACGAGCGTATAAACCTACGAACTCATTACAAAGTTATAACGAAAACTTAAAACGTGCTTGTTTTGGAGTTGTAAATTCGAACGCATAAAAAGTAATAACAAACAAAAAATATATTCTTACTTGGATAGTATTTAGTAACCATATTGTCTCCTGGTATAATTTTAGAGATGTTCCGTAAAGTTGTAGATCCATATTTAGAATCCGCACTGCTATCATACTCCACTGTCAACGCAAACAAAACGATAAATATAGCCTGTAGTATTAAAACCACTACAGGAAACTTTAACTTTGCAATAGAAGCCATGTTGCTGTCTTTTTTTAGGTCGTTAACGATTAGATTCCTAACAGATCAATGTAAACCATGTATTTAGACCGTCGTCGTCCAAACTAAAAAAAGTAAGTTTTTGCGGCCTTGACCTCAGTGGGAGCGTAACAGCTGCCAGAATCACTTTAACCTTCTAATGTGTATAACAGATATACGTATATATATATATATACTTATATATAATATACGCCCGTGTAGATTTCCCCGATTGTTGTTAACTGTTACTACGGGTTTACGTGTTACAAACTTGTATATCGGCAACCTTAAGAAGAAGCTTCCTAATTCATTTAGAAAAAAAACCTTGTATATCGGCAAGCTTAAGGCGAAGCTTTCTAATTCATTTAGAAAAGTTTATACGACAGACACAATTAATATTACGATGCGTGGTTTGCATTTTTGTTTTGACCTGTTACTACGGATCGACTTGTCAAAAACTTGTATACCATCAAGCTAAGAAAATATGTACGGTAGACTTACATAGCTGTCTTTATTGTCTCGTCAAGCTAAAGCAGAAGCTTTCTAATTCATTTCTATTAAACAACCTAAGAGAACAATTCGAGGAGAATTTTTAAACATAGAAACAGCATAATGATAAAGAATAAACATAAAAAAAAACAAATGAATGAAATGAAATGGGGTTTAACGTCCTACTGTTCTGCTCCGAACTGGGCTAATGAAGCTATGAGGGAAATTTTGCCCGGACAGCGGCAGTACGGCCTACTCTTATATCGAATTCCATCTGTCAAGGAATCTTTAACGTCCACGCCAATATGTACACGGGACCGCGGTTTTTCGTCCCATCCGAACGACTAGACAGCTGTCCTTATCAGGCCCTCCAGATGGTACCAACAGATAAATAACATTAAAAGCACAATTCCTGGATATGAAGCACAATGATACAAGCTTCGGTTATATTATTCACAAACAAAACCGTTTATAGAAATATATACGACAGACATAATAAATTGTCTTAATTAGTTATCGTGTCAACTTCTGTGATTTACTGGTGCACATAATTACAAGAGGACAGGTTAGGTTGTTCAGTTTATCAAAGACAATGCAATTGAGACTTCAAATAAAATGTATGCACTCAATGATCGTGTACTATTGTGATTTAAGCAGTATTTGCTTATGCAATTAAAATTGAGCAATTCATTTAGAATTCACGGATGGATGCAATACATGTATGCAAGACTGGATATGCATGAACTAATGACATCGGTGATGTATCTACCTCAATGAATAAAACGATTAATTAGTTAATAACTGATTCGTAATTGAATGTAATTAACCCATTAACGCTACTTAAATGACAAATATTGAACATTTCACACCTAGCTGGGTTAACCCCACGAACGTATGTTGCCAGCTATTTGGCTTGCACATTAAATCATATGGTCTGTCATTGAGTCAACTGGCGTGGTTTCGATTCCCGTTTGTACGTGACAAGGGGTAGGGTCGGCTGTCCGACCTCGTTCTACAATCGGCAAACCTCGGCAAATTCCGTTACTCTACATCTAGCCTCGGCTGTATGACGGTAAGTGTTGTGTGTTAGTTCCAATGGCGGACTTCGTCATACAGCCGAGGCTAGATGTTGGGTACTGGAATCTGCTGAGTTTTGCCGAGCGTACCGAGATATTGTGGCCTAGATCTTTCAGTTGTTCTGTGGTTTGCGTACGCGTAGTATTGTCAACTTTATTTGACCTTTATAAAGCTACATTTTGTTTAATTTAGATAAAGATCTGACAACTCTCACTAAAATAATTTAACAATAGATAATGAAACATTCATATATTGAAAATTTAATTCAAAGTACTTTATTCTGAGCCAAGTCATTAGTGTTGGAAGGTTTGACAAGATTCATTTAAATCTTTAAATCTCTAATCTATTGGAATCTCGGCCATCCGACGATCGAGAGAGATGATGATGGGCCTTTCTTGTGAATACATGTCTAAATAATAGTGTGTATAACATTTGAAGCTAAAACAAAGACCCGTGGCGGGTAGATTTAGTTCTTATAGTCCTTTAAACCAGCTCAAATTACGTTGTCTGTGAAGAATTCCACAGATTATCGTGTAAAGAACGGATCGGACACTGAATTGTATCTGACAGCCGACCCGGACCGGTTATAAGTTTAACAAGCCTGACTGTAAATAGGGTCAAATAACTACAATTCGCTGAACCGAATGGTGGAAAATATTCTTATCGAACCGGAAATACAGTTCTCTCCTCTTGAATTGAATATAGGGGTCAGATAAAGCGGGAGCTACATGGGATTGTGTGGGCCGTTAGATCGTAAATTCTATCATTCAGTCAAGTGACGTAGTTTCGATTCCCCGCGTGCCATGGAATAAGATTGCTTGTCCAACGTCGTGAGTTTCAACGCCTCCACCACCTTCCCCGCAACCCTTCTACACACAGGCGAAATATCGAGAAGAAATTGAACCATATGTTAGTTCCGAAATGACCTAGACTGTGTCGAGTGGACGTTAAACCCTATTTCTCTCTCTTTCCATAGTTCAGATTAATGTGGATTAATCGACAAAATCTCCCCCTCCACCCATCCTACGCACAAGCGAAATATCGAAATAAAATTGAACCATATGTTAGTCCCAAAGTGACCTAGTTTGTGTCGAATGGATCCCCCTCTCCCTCTCTCTCTCTCTCTCTCTCTCTCTCGATAATGTTTTCCTGTCATGGAATATTGTTCACATCCCGAGCATACATGGGGTTAAGCTACTTCTAAATAAATGACCAAATATGAACAATTATTATTATGATGATTGAACGAGAGAGAGAGAGAGAGAGAGAGAGAGAGATCAATAGGTATAATAGACAATGGTGTTATTTGGTGTATAAATTCAGGTCCATTATATATAATACATGTAGTTAAATATATTATCTGATATAAGACCACGATACGGATCAATAAGGATTTTTAAAACGTGTTATAAACGTTGGTAGCCTGTGACCAATAAACTGTTGAAATCCCGGTGGCGTTGAAGCGGGGAAAGAAAACAATAAAAGTATATGTGGGATATTATATACTATTGAGAGAGAAAGAGAGAGAGAGAGAGAGAGAGAGAGAGAGAGAGAGAGAGAGGGTTTAACGTCCACTCGACACAAACTAGGTCATTTCGGGACTAACGTATGGTTTTATTTTATTTCAATAATTCGCTTGCAGTGGGAGGAAACCGGAGTACCCGGAGAAACCCACGGGGCTGGACAGGCGACCCTACTCCTTGTCACGTCCAACAGGGGAATCGAAACCCCGCCAGTTGACTCAATGACAGGCCTTATGATACAGCACGCACGTGCTAAACATTCGGCCATCCAACCCCTCTTTTATACTATTGAAACTTGGTAAAACGTATAAAGGGATATAAATATACAAATAATAAAATAAAATACAGAGACTTATTTTGAATTCTTTATGTTTTTAATTATCATATTTAAAATCTGACACTAGCTGGTTCAGCACAATACCACGTGTTATAAAATGAAATTGGGTTTAACGTCCGGCAAATGAAGGTAAGTATACGCAATACAATGTACAATGAGGGTGATTTTTTTCCGGAGAGTTACGCTAAGGCCAACCCTTCGAACGAATTCCAAATGCCAAGGTGTCTTTTACATGCACAGGTACACAGGTTGGTATCGGTTTGTCGGGCCATCCGAACGATTAGGCGTTGTTACCATGCTAAATCCCTTCCTTAACCATTAACAAGGGGGAGCCGGAGTCAAAAATCCAGTGGAACTTTCTTGTCTAACTCGTACCATCCGATCGACTAGACGTTGTTATCATGCTAAACTTCATCACTAACAAGGGGGAGTCGAAAATCCCGTGGAATTTTTTTGTTAACTCGTATCATCCGAAAGACCGCACGTTGTTACCATGCTAAACCCCGTCCTTCACCAGTAACAAGGGGGAGCTGTACTCGAAAATCCAGAGGAACTTTCTTTGCTAACTCGTTGGTCGAAAGTTTTCAAGCCCGGTACCGGTTCTCGGCTTCCACGTCTGAAGCGCTGAAAATGAAGGTCTATTTAGTTTGTGTGTGTCGCTAAACCGAAGACCACCAGCCAAATTTGAAATACAAAGACACGTCCTCGATATCGTGAACACTTAACAGTGGCCTTTACTGGGTTCAATATAAACATGCCATTTTCAGGTCAGCTGGTTGCATCACCTACCCGGTCGTCAACTTGGATCTCCGTGCTCGTTTAGATAATTTGTTTTTGGCATAGCAATGAAAGGACACGTGTTTCTACTTTTCTGCACCATTGGCACAGAAAGATAATACAGCGGTTATATAGTACTCACTATTAAATGTTGATAAGAAATCACGCTGCCTTTTCCTTGTGGGAATAGTAGCTTGTGGTTTAACCCCCTGCTTCCTTCCTTGTAGAAGTAGCGGCTGGTGATTTAACCCCCTGCTTCCTTCCTTGTGGGAATAGTAGCTTGTGGTTTAACCCCCTGCTTCCTTCCTTGTAGAAGTAGCGGCTGGTGGTTTAACCTCCTGCTTCCTTCCTTGTAGAAGTAGCGGCTGGTGGTTAAACCTCCTGCTTCCTTCCTTGTAGAAGTAGCGGCTGGTGATTTAATCCCCTGCTTCCTTCCTTGTGGGAATAGTAGCTGGTGGCTTAACCCCGGCTTTCCTCCATGTAGGAGTAGCGGCTGGTGGTTTAACCTCCTGCTTCCTTCCTTGTAGGAGTAATAGCAGGTGGTTTACCCTCCTGCTTCCTTCCTTGTGGGAATAGTAGATGGTGGTTTAACCCCTGCTTTCCTCCATGTAGGAGTAGCGGCTGGTGGTTTAACCTCCTGCTTTCTTCCTTGTAGGAGTAATAGCTGGTGGTTTACCCTCCTGCTTCCTTCCTTGTGGGAATAGTAGCTGGTGGTTTAGCTCCCATTCCCTTCCTTGTAGGAATAGTAGCTGGTGGTTTAGCTCCTGCTTCCTTCCTTGTGGGAATAGTAGCTGGTGGTTTAACCCATGCTTTCCTCCATGTAGGAGTAGCGGCTGGTGGTTTGACCTCTTGCTTTCTTCCTTGTAGGAGTAATAGCTGGTGGTTTACCCTCCTGCTTCCTTC